CCTGGGAGTGGGAAACTGGCCTGAAGATACGATGGTCCTCTCAGCTGGTGTGTCTCCATACGAATTCAGCCCTTTCAGGACTTTGCACAGACGTCTGATGACACTGCTTCGGCAGTGAGTGATGTCACTGATCAGCGCCAAAAGGCGTTCACAGTAAAAGATTTTTAAAGTAGATTCACAATTAACAGTTTTCATGTTTTGATGTGTTTGTAGGTCATCTGTTATTGCCTGAAGTATTTTTTATTGTAATTTAGATTAAATTTTCATGCCAGTTTGAATAATTGATACCTGTTGAGTGCACCATTGTGAACCAGATGCAGGAGAATCACAACCAAAATACAAACGTAGAGGAAGAAGCCTTTTACTGTGAGTAATGATACCGCGTCGTGTGACGTTTTGGAGGTTTGAGGACTTTCTCTGTCCAAACTGATCCATATTTAACTGAGAGTGAGGTTTTTTTACTGCAGCAATGTCTCCAGTCTCATATCTGAGGAAGAAATAATGTCAGCATGTTTTATTTTAAATATTTAGGCTGTAAAAAAGAAGCTCTTTGATGTAAAATAACACTTTTAGAGCTTTCTATAAAACATTTAAAGAGGAAGACAAAAAGCAACGTGAAGCGAAAAAGCTAACATTATTTAATGTGCTTAAGAGTGTCACAGCTTGTGTTATAAACATGGGAGGTTTTCTAATCAGAGAAATGTGACTCAGTAGCCTCTCATCCAATTAAGGGCAGGGTCACCGTTAAGCTAATGAGTTTGATGCCACAACAGAAAGAAGACCTCCATCAACACAACATAATTAGCAGAACACAGTGGAATTAGGCGGCCACAACGACAGCGCTTTGGTGTTTTCACAATTAAACACCAGAAAAGACAACAATTAAGCCAAATCCTCAAACCCCTCCCAGTCTCATTCAAGCGGAGAGGACATGTTTTGTTTTTGGGAAAGCCCTGGAGACGCTTCCTGTGGGAAGTTTGAATTATAGCTCAAAGACAAGGAGCTGAAAGTGAGGGAGGTCATGACAGACGATACATGGGACCCAGAATGTTACAAAGACTTGTGTACAGTCTTGCAAAAAATAAAATAAATATTATAATAATTAGTACAGATTGGGTTCAAAATACTCCCATATATTAAAGTTTAGTGCTAGAAATTAAACATATTGGATAATAAATCAACATTGAAGCAGCTCATTAGAGGATCTTTAAATCATAGTAGGTCCGTAAAACGGATCTGATTTTGTCTGTTGATATTCCTGGTTGCACATTAACTTTAATGCAGGACTTTGTTTGTTTGTTTATTAACAGTCCTGATTATTCTTACCACTGGAGGACAGGCATTATTAGCAATAATGTGACATCTGGACTTTTTTTTCCACTTTTGAACCAATAAAAAGCTTCTTTTGTATGAGTGTGGCCCAGTGTTTTAGGGAACATGTTCTGGTGCTGAGTGAAACACCATCATACCGGTGATGATGGGCTGTCTCACAAGTCTTCAAACATTCCATTGCCGAGTAAACGTTGAGGATCAATTAGGCCCAAAAAGTGTCGTTTTTAAAACGCCGCTTCTTCTCGTTCCTTCTCTGTTCCATTCGTAACCCACCAGTGCCTCCCCTTGATGCCAAGCCTCCATGACCTCGGCCAAGACCAATAGCACTGTTTAAGGAGGGATGGGCTGTGTAAATAAAGACGGTAGATCCTGCCGACGGGGACCACAGTCAACGTTTGACCAGAGTGGCAACATTTATTCAAATCTGACATTGATGGTACGTTGTTAAAAAGCTTTCATTACTATAGATATATGATGCATTGTGAACATTAATTATCTTGTGATTTCTTTGAGTGTTGCAGACAGCTGTTGGCGAACGCATGTCCGACTGGAATGGAGAAGCAGAACACACCTTGTTGATGTTAAAGTCGTGCTTCATATCTTTTGATTAAAGTTTCTGTGGAAAAGTTTGAACCAGTTAATAGTTTACCTGCTGCCGATAGCTTTTTGAATGGTCTGAGATGGACTAGAGCTTGCTGGACTGACAAGCTAACGGCTAGTCCGATTGAATCATTACTGTATTGAAAAAGCGCCAATCTGAAAAAATATTTACAGAAATTAATTCCAAAACTCTAAACATTTACATTGCCATTGTTTTTTTTAAATAAATGATTACTTACATAGTTTTCTTTATCATAGGGCATCAGTAGCTCCGGAGGTAGAGCGGGATGTCCAGTAATCGAATGGTTGTAGGTTCAACTCCGGCTCCATCCAGAGAATGCTGCTGGTGGTGGTTGGAGGGACCAGTGGCGCTTGTGTACAGCAGTCTTGCTTCCGTCAGTGTGCCCCATTACAGTTGTGGCTACAATGTAGCTCATCATCACCAGTGTGTGAATGGGTGGATGACTGGTTGTGTTGTGAAGAGCCTTGGGGGTTGTAGAACCCTAAAGCCTGATTTATATTCCTTCGTCAGCTCCGCAAGGGAGAGACGCACATGCATTGACAGAGACGTTTTGCTCTCTGACTTCTCCGTCATCCGGGGAGTGTTGCAAAACAATTCCCCGCCAGGAAAACAGAGGGTGTAGTGCTTTCTGATGTATCTGGACCACAATAATGTATTTACAAATGTGTTTAAATATTTCAGAGACTTTATAACACGGACAAATTTGTCCTTCATTTTTCTGCATCTCTTCATGCGGTCGCCACCTCTAAACTCATGTTTCTGATCATTTCCATCCACATTTGCTCCGTATCTTTGTACTCCGTCAGTCGTTCACATTTTTGGGCTTTTTCCGCCATGTGTTTTTCAGTCTGTTCCGTCTGTTGCTAAATATCTTTTTACTTTTTAAAGGGGAAAAGGCGGGGCTGTTGGCAAATTTAAAGGAAGTGGCATCCTGACAAGCTTACAGTCTCTGTTACTTTCGATAGATGTTTAAAAATTTGAGCATGTCTCCGTCACCCCCTAAGAGCCCATCGGAGAGCCCTTGCACCGATGCATAATGGCGTTGTGTGTCTCCACACCGACGCAGGCGAAGAAGAATAAATCAGGCATAAATACAGGCCATTTACCATTTCCACATTTTGAAATAAGTGCAAATGGCAGAGGTATGGACTTGAGTCACATGACTTGGACTTGAGTCAGACTCAAGTCATTATTTTAATGACTTCGGAATTGACTTGATAAAATCTTTAAAGATTTACGACTTGACTCAGACTTGAACGCCAATGACTTGCGACTTGAATCGACTTGCATCTGTTGACTTGATGATGACTTGAGCATATTTGATATTTTAGCACAAAAGTGGCCCGACATGGACAAAAATCATAAATCATTCTTTGTTCTGGGTTTAAACTTGTTCCGCTAACTGCAGCAGCACTTTGTTTATGATTGGGTTCAGATGCACTTTCTGTTGTTTGAGCAAATAAATGAAACTTTAAGAAGCTTTATTTCTGTAATTTATTTATTATCATTGTCATTAACTTGAAGTTGGACAGATGACTTGATTATGACTTGAAAATTCAAAGTTAAGGACTTGGACTTGACTTGGACTTTCACATCATTGATTTTGGACTCGACTCGGACTTGATTGTCTTTGACTTAGACTTGACTTGAGACTTGACTGGAAAGACTTGTGACTGACTTGTGACTTGCAGTGACTTGGTCACACCTCTGGCAAATAGTAACAACAAAAAGTGAATAGTGGTATAGCTGTAGCATCTCCTGTGCAGACTTGTGCAGATATAACCCTGCACCAGACAGTGAGGTGAAGGTAAATATAAGAAATTATCATTCAGTGCCAGGTGATACGTTGTAGGAAATGTTCAATTTAGTCAGCTGGTTCCACTAAACCCAGTTGCTTAAATGTAAACAATATTAAACAACATTATGTTAAAAGTCAGCATGTATTACTCTTTACATTTAAGTAACTAGGTTTGGTAGAGCCAGTTGACTTAAAGAGCGGGTCAATTGAGCCTCGGAGTCCTTCTCCACCCACGTATCAATTTTAAAAAATGCAACATTAGTAGGCATTGCCTGGAGGACCGAGAGGGCGGAGCCGCGGCAGTGACGAAGACGATGGCTAACTAGACGAAGCTAGCTCCCTTCACTCTGAGCAGTTATTAGAAGTGGAGGACGTTTCTCCCCCTCCTTACACAGACACTCGAGAAGAAAGGGACCAAGTCTATTTGGAGGAGACAAGCGGACCTGAGTCTTATTGTTTTGAGCTTGTGAGTTGCCTGAAACTCCCAGAACCGACCCAACAGAATCACCTCTGAAAGGTAAGTAGCCGTTAGCCATAGCATTGGATTAGCTGCAGGGTTTGTCTCCACGGCCCTAAAAAGCTAGTATTCAGCATGTTTTAGAGGTTTATCTGCTTCAGCACACCTGGTTTTAATCAGCAACAAATAGCTGAGCTGCTTAACAGTTAATCTAACCTGTTAAAGCAGGAAAACCACTGAAACGTGCTGGATAGCAGCTCTCCGGTAGCTCTGGGCTCAAGTTACAGTCTGCTGCATATAAAGTTATGAAAATACCCCATGATAAAATTATTCTGTAATGTGTTCAGCCCACTAAAACTGCCCTGATTTCTTTATTTATTTACTGATAACAGCTGCTCTCTTGGTTCTAGGTCCTCTGGTGTCTGCAGCTGGTCTCTGGTGTCTGCAGCTGGTCTCCTCTGCTGGTGTCATCAGGATCAGGAACTTTCAGAAGAACGTGCCTTTCAATGACTCTTTCCCCCTTATTTGTTATATTAATTAAATAAATCTCAATTTATATATTTCCTGTTTTTGTTCATGTCCATAAATACTTAAACATGCTTGAAATTAGAACGAGCTTTTAACAGTGAGGTGCTAGTTTAATTAATCACAATAGCTAGTTAAACATGCAACAAAAATGTGATATTCAATGTAATTTATAAATATCCATTAAAATATCAAAACGAATCTAAATGAGATATTTGGCAGCACAAAAAACTTGTCAAACACAATATTTATTATAATTTTAGGCAGACAGGAGACAGAGCTGATGGAGGTTCTCAGTCATCGAAGGATGGCTGAAGGCTTTCCAGGAACAGGAGATGTGGTGTGGTCTCTTCTCTCTCTATTCAGCAGGATGAGCTGATAGGTTACAGGTGTGTGAGGACATCCTCATGCTGTCATAACCAGATGACAGGGGTTATCAGGTGATCAGCCAGGCTAATGAGATGCAGAAAGAAAACAAATTCAGGACAGTGTACAATATGTGGTGTTGCTCACCTTATGTGCTCTTATAGAATATTAATGTGTGCATGCCTCATGGTGTAGAGTCTATATTTTGCTGAGTGTCCTGCAATAATGCATGTTATTAGTTAATTTACTTTTGATAGCAAAAACAAAATATTTAATGTAAAAGTTATTTTCCAGGAGAATCAGCTCACACGTCACCACCAAGTGTCACAGGGGCAGAATCAGTAGCCTCCTTCATGATGTAATCACATACTTATTTAATTGTTAATATCTTAAAAATTCTGAAATGTTTTAATTTTTTTTTTAACCTTGAACAGTTCACTGAGCTTGCACTGTCACTGAGGTGGAAGCTGGAATCAACAGCAGACACCTCACATCTTGGTCTTTTCAGGGGGTCTGGACGCTCTGGGACCTTCTGGAAGATGAATTTTCATCATGGTCCCTGTGGGTCACCAGACACACTGCGGCTGTGAGCTCTAAACTGGATGGCTATGTAAAAACAAAGAAGCAGCACATTTATAAATGTTTAAAAGAGCATAAAATCACGTGTAAAAATAATCTGTAAAACAAATTAAAACTAGAAGGTGATAATAAAATGTTTACATAGAAGATTATTAAAAATAATTCACCTTTGCTACAGGGAAGGTTTCACATCAGCCTGGACAAGTACATTCATGCAGCTAAATCAGTCTGACAGCCAGTGTCTTGGGTAGATTTAGCCTGAAAAAAAAAATAGAAGCACATTGTTGTTGGAGTTTATAAAGTCAGATAATATATAAAAGAATCTCCTATATAGGCGCTTTATAACATTCCTAGTGTGTGATCGTTGTTATAACGTAAAAGTCCATCACATATGATGTGGAGAGCCTGAAATGCGACCTCCTGAACAGAATTCCTTACAGAACCTGTTCACAAGCTGGATTTCACGCTGTAATGCTGTCTGTCAACTAGTGCAGCGTTAGTTAGAGACACTGTTGCAGAATTGCCGACTGACTAGCTAAAGGAAGTGAACCACGTCTCTCAGACTTTGCATTTAGGTAGGGAATTGTCTTTAGAAGATGTTAAAACGTTTATTTAGCTGACTCACCTCAGACTGGAGCCCGCCGTGGTGGGGGAGCAGAGTCGGTGGGCTGCATCTAAATCGCGGAAGAGCCACGGTGGGCAGCCTCCCTCTTCAAACGGAGGCGCGCAGAATCGCGGGTAAAATGCCCACAGAGTCACCGCAAGCATACTACACTACACCTACTCACCAATACTAAGACGATATGGAACACTAAACCAGAAATACTTTCCCAATTACACTAACAGCCAAACACTAACTCAACTACAATATCCAACAGCCAAATCTAACACTAAATAAGTATTTATAACACTAAAAGATATGCTAAGACTAGGATATGCTAATGCTATATGCTAATGCTGAACTACCGCTGACCTCCTATGCTCGCTTGCAAATCCAACTCCCACTCGCCACAGGGCGTGGCCGAGACGCTCGTTGCTTTTATAACTTTGGCACGGAGCTGCTACGTAGTACTCTTCTGGTTTACGTAGTACTTTACTCTTTAGCCATTGGCTAAAATTTATTCAAAATGACAAAAATTCTATGTTTTCAGCTGAAGGTGGCGCATTACTGTGGTTTTTAGACAGAATTTTTAATTTTTAAAGAAAATGCACCAAAATGCTAAAATAAAGAATGCACACATTTAAAACACTATTAGACACTCATTTATACAGTTCATCAGCAAAAAAAAGTTAATTTAGACGTTACTTGCTCTTTAACTTGGTCTGGTAAATTACACGTATTATCTTCAGAGTGTAGAGAAAGAATTTGGCTTAAAAAAAGACGTGAACTTGATTCATGTGTTAATAAACTCCATTCCAACTCTATTTAACTCCACTATGAGCTCCTGCATTTTTTTAGATACATAGAATTCCCAAGACAGACTTTTCTATGCAAAATCTATGTTGTCTCTCTTTACCAGGCTTGTTTCACTTGCAATAATTCCCTGAAGGAATAAACTCAGCTACGTAAAAATGCTGACCTGATACATCGACTGAATAGGTGAAGTCTCGCAGTAATCCATTCCTGCAGCATCAGTGTGAGCAAGATTTATATGTTTTCTGAATGCAGAAATCGGCCATTTTTAGCTCTTTTGTACGGTCTGCATTAGCAGATAGCATCTTGTCATCTAAGTAAATTTATAGGGAAAACAAAAACATTATTCAACTGCATTTACACAGTGTGCATATCCTTTTGCAAGTGCAGAACGTGTCATAATTCTGCTTATCTCACCTGTGTGACAGACCACATTTTAGAGTATAAACCAGCCCGTTACCACATCTGTAAGTTATATGCAGCAACACAATCTGCTGCATCCGGAGCCAGGCAGCTGCGCGTATTAATCACGCAGCCTACTTTCTTTTATGACACAAAGCAAATAGTCATAAATGCTCTTATCGGCCTCTATAATAGTGGGGCCGTTACGATCAGATTCATGCTGGCGTAAACTATTGCATTTCATCACTATCACATCAAACAATCACTTCTATTTTACGAGCATCGTTTATAATAGTTGGACAGTTTGTTGCATAATGAAATTCGAAGCACTCTATCGTCTCCAAGGATCTCACACTCCGTTTACTTATATTTACATAAATTCATGTGGGTTTTTGTTGTTTTCCTCAATAAGAACTGGTATGATGAATGTATGTTTGTGGTTCTGCTGGTGACTCCAAAGAAGTGATTTTTAGCAGCTTTACCGTAAAGTCACACATAATGTTCTGATTTCTGCAGAAGGATGTTTAAGTGACCTGTTGCGTAATTATTTGTGAGTATGTGTTATGTGTAATTTAAAATGTGCATCATTTATTTATTTACTTCAACGTTTATTCAATTTAAAGTGGCAGTGTGTAGTTTCCTGGCGCTAGGGGGCAGTACATACATTTCCTTGCCTTGACTGTAGCTAATTTTAACCCTTTGGTGCATGAATTATGAAATCTTCAACCATGATTTTTTTAACAATTTTTTTCATTCATCTTTAGGTGTGAATGAAACAAATTTCAACAAATATTTTTTGTAAAATTTTATAATTTACAAATAATTTATTACATGTCCACTTCAGTGGACAGCGTGCATTCTGAGCATGAAATATGTTGGCTTGGCTTACTGAAGTCCAAATGGAGGGGCTCAAATGCAATAAAGTATTCAACAGCTGTGCTTAATAGCAAAAACAAATAAATAACAATTTTGAGTATCTGTCCACTGTAGTGACCATTATGCATCAAAGGGTTAAAAAACATTACGGTAAATGTTTTTTGCCTGTGGAGCAGAAAGCATGAGATCTCTGCGTGACTCCTCAGACTTTGATGGTACTTCAGTTAATTCCATCTAGAGTATGCAATGCTGATTGTAGTTTTCTAGCGCTGTAGTTTCAGGATCAGTTAGGGGTCCTGCGCCTGCCGATGACATCATCATACTACAGCAAAACCGCTTGGCCAAAATATATTGCATCTCTTTTTCAATTTTGTTCTTTCATATGTTTTAGAAAGAGTTTAGCAGTTTTGTTATTAAAGTCATGTTTCTTTCTGCCTAAATGTTTCTGAACATGGTAACTTAACTTCTGTAAGTCGTACATCCAGCCAATCATCTAGTGTGATGTCATCAACAGACGCAAGTCCCTGAGCCAGCCAGAAGCAAACACCTTTACCTTACTTCAGACCTGATTTTTATTATAATATGTTACGAACAACTAGACCTCATTTTATTTATCTTCAACATTCCGATGGATATTTCCAGAGATCAATGGTAAAAACTACACATTGTCTCTTTAATAAAGTCATTTCCTTCCATGTTGATAAAGTGGACATTGATTTTCAACAAAAACACATCAAAAGCAGCAATTTCATAAATCATGTGGTTTTGATTCTGTTCCTTCACATTTTGGAAAGAGTTTAGCAGTTTTGTTATTAAATGTTTCTTACTGCCTAAACGTTTTTGAATGTTGTAACGTAACTTCCGTAAGTTGTACGTCCAGCCAGTTATGTAGTGTGATGTCATCGACAGGCGCAGCAACCCAAGCCACTCAGAAGGAAACATGGCGTCTCTGGGAGATGCCAGACCTGCTCCCAATGCACTTTAGACCCAATTTTTACAGTCATATGGTACAAATCCGCTGGTGTTTTTTAACAACATCATTTTATTTATTTTCAATGTTTCAATGGATATTTACAGAGATTAACGGTAAAAACGACACTACATTTTACTTTAAATCAACATTTTATATTAAAAACAGATTTTTGTTAACAATTTCCAGTTGAACCACTTAATTTTAACAATATTAAACAAATTTCCAGACTAGATTTGTATACTAGACAAATAATTTGGAGCGCTCTGATTAATCAATTAATATTCTCTTCCCAAGGTCTTTCCATAAACCCATCATTAATAAAGTAAGACATTCAATTAGCAGCCAGATCTTGATTGCTAATTTTGTCATAACAGAATCTCTTCTTTTTTTGGAAAAGGGTTGGGGTAAATTTGAGGTTATGGTATTGGAAGAAGAATTAACTAATTTCATTAATCTAATTGTCATTGCTCTCAGCTGTCCCACTAACAAGCACAAATTAATATGATTAATCAATTTGATGACATAAACTCATTCAATTATAGCTTTTCAAAGGCGAGTGGGTGTGTTGGGGTGATAGGGAGGTGCGGCGGCGGATGAAGAGGCTCTTCTGAGCTGTTTTCCCTGCGAGGAGCCCGGCCCACAGTATTGAAATCAAGGGAGGCAATTAGTCATTCTGAATGGTAAATAAATGGTGATGAAATATGGAGGGCAGATGCCCAACCAGCAGTCTGATCTGACTCAGAATAATGTGTTTCTTCTCAATAAAGAAAAATAAAACAGATTGTTGAAGCTTTCTGCGTTGTCTACAATTATATTACTTGATTTCTTTTTTAAGAAATGTGACTGTGGGTGCACATTTGACACAAATGTATAAAAGTGGAACATAATTTTATGATAGAATGTCTCAGTTCCAGAAATTGAAATTGTTTAGATGATGGAAAGGTAGAAAAATGTCCTGAAAAGGTTTAAACTCTGGTTTGTGCAAAAGAAAGGACGTTTAAAGCTGCAAACCTGAGGAGAGCATCAGGAAGTGAACGTGTCATGAATCAGCAGATGGATTTTAAATCTAATGGCTTTTTTTCTGAGTTAAAATAGTTCTTTGGTTGATACAGAACATGCTTATGAAGTTCATTGTACCTAATCCCTCTCACATGAAGTGATTTCAGTTGTTTCATTCTTGACAGTTTCAGTACCTTCCAGAATGAGTCGTTTCAGGGCTCTGTCACTTTGAGATAACAAGCTGGAGCTGGCCATGCCCACCCCTTCCTGCTCATACTGCTATAAGCTGAGAAGCTCTGAAAAGAGACTTGAGTAAAGCTGCTGCTGTGTAGTTCTATGCTAAGTTCCCCATTTGTGACATCACAAACAATAACTTTTTGATACTGCTTGTTTGAGGCACACAAGTCCTAAAACCAAACACGGACAGAAAATGGTTGAGTGTTTTTCCTCACATTTGGGGTGTTTCTATAGAGGCAGTAGAAACATGCATGGCAGTATAAAAGGATGCAAAATGTGAGTTTAGTCCCCTTATATGTCCCCTTTAATCAAAGTCTAAGAATGTATTCATTCAATAAATGCAACTTATTAAAATACAACTTTACTCATATTTGTAATACTTTTGCAGTGGTCTTTAGTAGGAATGAATGACTGTGATGATGTTGCTAATGCTAACAGTTAGCTTTTCTAGCCAAGACATTCACTGCGGTTTTCTGGTCGCTAAACCAACAACAGTTTTCCCTGTTAAGAGTCAAGAAGGGTGAGTCCAAGAATGTTTGAGTATGACATAGATCTGTCAGGTTTTTCTGAACCGAGCACTTTTATGTCTATTTTCTCTCAGAAATACTGGTAGAAGACGGTTTTCATGTTCAGCCTGCATGTTAACTCAGAGTGACTGATCGTTTTCAAAAATAATGAGTAAAAAAGGATTTCTCAGCCTCTTTAACTTTTGTAATTAACCCAAATCAAGATGGCTGCCACAGCCAACTCACCTCAAAAAAAGCAAACCAAGTCAAAATTCATTTTTAACAATATATTTTGTTTTTTACACAAAAAGCTCAATTTGTCTTTGACATTGGTGTGCATTGTCCGGAACAATAAAGATAAGTGATTGCTTAGGTAACATTTTCATTAATTCTGTGCAAGAATTGATGCAACCCGCACCACACTGTAAATGGTAAAATGGTAAATGGCCTATATTTGATACGGCACCTTCTAAAGTCCTGGAACCCCCCAAGGTGCTTTACGACACCATCAGTCAATTCAATCCAATTCAAAATTCAAAAATACTTTATTAATCCCAGAGGGAAATTAGAGAATGGCACAGGAGTTAAGTGCTCGCCCATAATCTGAGGGTTGCACACACATTCACGCGCTGGTGCCATGTTGGGGTTTAAGTGCTTGACCCAAGACATGCAGAATCAACACAAGAGACAAATGTAAAATTAAACAAAGGCTTTATTAAACAGTGCACAACTAACGACGTCCCAAACTGGGAGATGCAAAGGGGGGCTGGGCCTGCAAGAAAATTCTGGATTAGTAGGTCTGGTTGTTTGAAGGTGGAGTGGAGGTCTTAAGCTTGGTTTATGCTTGACGCATTTACTTTCCGCTTGGTGATGCGGCTCGCGGATGGAACGTGCTTCACAACTCGCAGCGTTTATGGTTCATGCGGCTTGTCTCTGCGGTGAGACAATATTCTCCCAAACTGTAGGGGGCAGCATGGAGCTCTATGGCATGCATCCAACACTACACCATAGTAGAAGTAAAAATTACTGTTTACAACATGGCATTCCAGCATTTTTAACAGCATCCTCGTCTTTTCCGACAGTGCGAGCTATTTCTCTCCAAGAATTATTAACAACATGTTGATCACGGTGATTTTTGAGAGCTGAATCATACAAATGTCTGTATTTACGAACCTCTGCCATACTAGTTCTTGCCAGTCCGCCATGTTTTTCCGCATCCGACCGTCCGCGTGGTTAGAAAATTTCCTAGGTGCGCGGTGCGGAAATTTTGGGCCATGCGGAGGCGTGGTGGAGGGGCGTGGTTGTTAAAAGAGGATGATCTCACCTCAGTCCATGACAGCTGGTGGGGATGAGCTACGATGTAGCCACAGCTGCACTGACAGAGGCAAGGCTGCCGAGCACTGGCACCACCGGTCCTTCCAGCCACCACCAGCAGGCAAGGTGGGTTAAGTGTCTTGCCCAAGGACATGACAACAGCGACAGACTGAGCAGGGCTCGAACCTGCAACCCTCAGATTATGGGCGAGCACTTAACTCCTGTGCCACTGTCGCCCCGTCCGCCATTGTATTCTGCATGAAGAAAATAACACAAGCTGAAAAGTTAAGTAGACATGACTTCCTTATTAATGCGTTTTCTGCAGGCGCACCGATGTGTTATTACATTGTCATACCCAACTAGCCTGCACTATGTCTCTGAGGAGAAAGTGGATCATTTGCATGGACCTCAACCCCTTTCAGGACTAAACAGAATACAAACATTAGCTGTGTGTGGATGAACAGAAATCCAGATAAACTCCAACAGATTGAAGAGCCTGTTGACTCAAGCTCATGTTGGGATCTGATTTGTGTGTTTCAGTGAGACGTGGATGTGCTGGCACAGCGATTTGGGTTGATGCCCTTTAATGCACTCTGTCTTATCAGTCCAGCATCATCACCCCCCTCTACACACACAAACTCACACACACACACTTCAGATCCATATCTGATTAAGCAGCGTGATGTTGTTGGTTCTTACAATGGGAACAGTTTACAGAGGCACCATTTCTAATTTGTGAATGGAGGTATTACAGAGGAGACAATTAGACCGCCGTTCGATTGGCGAGCAAAGGCTTAGATGCTGACAGTCAAGAGGAGGCTTTCAAATGTCATACCAATTAATCTATCCAGCCATCAAACAATATTCTGGAAACAAAGTCAGGGGGTGCGATCAATCTGCATCACTTTTCTCCTCACCGGGTTATGGGAAAATTGATTTGTCAAACAAAGCATTTTAGAAGCAGTGCATGGACTTGTTCGGGATCCATTAGCCTCCATTGAGCATTTTGTTTAACATAGGATTTGCATCACAGAGAAAATGCTGCGTCCTCAATATTGTGAGCCACAACTTTACGATTTCTGATTTCTTTGTTCCTGCTTTGGGAAGCTTTGGAAAGTGCTGATGTGGATCAGAAAGGACCAACTTCCAGTGAGCTGTGCAATGGTTACGAGCACAAATTATAAGGATATTAATCAGCTTTGATCCCTTCCATCAAAAAGAGTCAGACCCGATTGTCTGTACGCCACAGGGCCGTATCACAAATCCCTTGTGCAGAGTATTGTTCTGACTGTATCACATTGTACCCGTCATGCTGTTTTAGAGGGGAGACGGCTTCCTCAATGGAATTCCTCCTCCTCCCCCTTTCCCCGGTAGTCTAACGCTCCCCAAAGGCTAGGCCTCCCTGACCTTGTCTTATTCACCCAGGGCATCTTAAGGGAAAGAACGGAAGCCTGAATGGGCCATTTCTCCTCTTGTATTATCCTTTGAATGTCATTGGTGAAATATGAAGTCATTAGGCGATACTAAAACACTGCTGACAAACTAATTAACGGAAGACATTAAACAGGACCAGCTTGATTAATCCGCTTTAACGATTCTTTTTAAGTGGTTCTGGTCAAAATTAATACAGATTTACTAGTGAGGGTAAGGAAAATAATTTTATGTGTATTACACCTGAAGGGCAACCTAAAGTCAGGTCTTGTACCTCCCTTTGCTCCCTTCATCCTTCTCTCCGATAACAGACAGAACACACTCACAGCTGGGGTTTTTTACGTTTCTGAAAACTTTTTTGCCATTTTGATGCTTCAGTTTACTGTTGCTTGCTGTTTTTATAATTGCTTGAGATAAAAACTGAACAATGCAAAGCAATCAAATGATTTGTAAATGCAACTCAAGAGAGAACTGTCTCAAAGATCAGCCCAAAACTAAGAAATTACTTCTATTTTATTATATAAAGCAAATCCTAATTAGTACATTTTACCACTAGCTGTAGTTTATTCCCCCAGTTTTAGTATGTCCCATTATACTGACAACACTTATATTATTGTGCATGTCGCCCTCTAGTGGCAGAGACGTGGAAGGACCGTTTTTATTTTCAGTGAGATATTTTTTGAAACTGATTTTTTTTCCAAATTTTTTTGTGATATCAACAGATTTTTTTCTATCACAACAAAATACATGAAAATGTTGGGAAAGGAAATGTTTTTTATTCTTTATTTGCTAATTATGAAGCAATCTAGAAGAGTGATAAAAATGTTCATATTATTGTAAAGAAAGTAAAATAGCCAATTATAAAAAAGGGGGTTTGTTCCTTTAAATGGAGATTCAGCTTACAAAATAAAACAAATTAAAGGGTGTTTGTTTTTAAGGAAGAAAGGAGTTTAGGAACCTACGAGCTGCAAATGTACTGTCATGATTTGGAATGGGTGGAAAATGTCATTTTTGGAGGTATATTTGGATGAAAAAAAATACCTGGAACATATTTATTGATAAACATGAAAGAGTTTTAGGGAAGAAGTGGGGTATGGCGGCCATTGAAGCATGCGAGGACTTCAGTTCTTTTCACAGTTCTTTGTTTTGCACTCTTATTGACTAGCAAAGCTAGAATCATGCTGCACCGTAAACCACCGTAGAACTACAAACAGACAGAATAAACAGTGAGTTTACACACATATAACCCATAAAAACCACAAATAAAGTTACAGTCTACCAACCACGTTGCCCGCTTGTAGCTCCGAATGGGAGGGGAGAAAACAAACACATTACTTCATATTTTGGTTAAGATTGAAAAAATTGAAGCATTAGCTGTATAATATACAGATGTTACATTGCTGTGTTACAAGAAGAAAAATTTCCCTCCCTTGAACTGTCTGTGACTGGGGCTGTTTAGATGGGAAACAATCGCGTTATTAATTTCCATCTAATTCTATGGTTAATTACTCATAAACAAATTAACCTTTTTTGTCAGTCTTTAATGTGTAACTTTATGTATTTGGATGAATGACAAAGATTCATGTTAAACTGAAATGTTAGGCATTTAACGAAAATTAACAAAATAATTAACATTCTACTGTTGTCAAATAAATCAAACTGTAATTAAAATATATATTTTCAAAGTGTCAATTCTGGATAAAATCCAACTACATATGCTTTATAAATAACAAACACTCTCCACATGGCTTTTACACACACACACACATGCATGCACGCAAGCATGTGCACACACACACAGTGCTCTGGTGTACCAGTGTGTTTTTGAGATACAGAAATTGACCTTGTCTGATGTGTGTGTGTGTGTGTGTGTGTGTGTGTGTGTGTGTGTGTGTGTGTGTGTGTGTGTGTGTGTGTGTGTGTGTGTGTGTGTGTGTGTGTGTGAATCTTTTTTTTTTCAGGGGAGACTTTGCCTGAAGGACACAGCTGTACCTACAATCTTCTCGTCCTAAAGGAAGATGTTTTTTTTACCTTAAAAGGTCAAAAACCGTCTTCCAAGAAGGAAAGTACAGGTAAGTAGGAATGACAAGGTAAGTTTTGAGAGTATGGGGTTTTTGGTTTGTTTGTTTTATTTTGTTCCTAGCAGGGATTCATTTTCTCTCTGCCGTTGAGTTCCTGCCACCACCCCAGTTTCAGCTGTTGAACGTCATCAGCTTATCTGAAAGTAAGATTTAAAAGATTCTATCATCTTTGGTGATCTCACGCCTACAAAACATCCTTTGTTCTAATGTTGAAATTAATTGAAGCTGATCTTGAACCTGCTGACCTCTATAACTTTATTCCTGTTCCTACTTACAAAGAAACCCCTGTGCAGAGTCCTTCAGACACCTAAGTGACCTAAGTGATCATCTAATCAACACAACGACTCCCACATAACAGAGAAAACGATGCAAACGAACTATGAGGAGGTAGGGAGGAGGTGTTTTGCAGGTGACAGTTTCTGCTCATCAAGCAACAAGACAGCTACAATAAGATGGACCCTCCTATATTCATGAAACCAAAGAAGTCCAACTGCCTTCTTTAAAATTCCATTTGATGTCATATTGAACAACAGTTGTCTTTAATTCTAATTTTAATGTTTCTGTTTCAGGTGGAATTGCTGTGTGATTCCTGTGTCCTGTGGCCCATGACCTGTGTCAGCCCAGTTCTGGATGTGGCCTTGCTGAGTTATCTGTAGCAAGGTGCTCGGCTGTCTGGGAGGTGGTCTGAGTTGGTTCTGTGCTCTGTGCTGGCTGCTGGTTTCCTGGTGCTTGGGGCCGTTCCAGGGTGCACCTGATCCTTGGAGGTCTCACACTTCACATCCCAGCACACACACGAACACATGCTTGTTGATGTTTGTTGTTCATGGTTTACATGTTTATAGTTGTTCATCCCACGTTTTCTTGATGATTCCTAGAAAGGTTTCTTTACAAGTGCAGCTGCTGGTTGCTGTTTTTATGTTGGTTTCCTAGTTGTTTTTATTTTTCTCTCTTCTTTACTTGTTTGTCCTCTATCAACCCTCTTTATTCCAGATTGGTTCAGCATTTACATGCTGATGTGGCGATACATAACCCAAACCAATATTACAATAACATAAACTCGTACACATTAAGGCTCTTCTTGATAGAGCAAATCTATTCAGCACATTCTGACAGACAGACAGACCTGTCTGTCATGTTGCTGTACAGGACATTTTTAGAGTTTTTCTTTTTAAAGAGAAATAGTATTACATTTAAAGAGCAATACTTTCACATTATCATTTTCCCACACTTTCTGTATACCTGTATTTTGTTGTTTTTTAATAAAGAATGACAAATTATTTCAGTTTTTGGTTTTTTTAGCACACAAATATCTATCTGTAAAAAATATCTACAAAGCTAATATTTACATAAGCAGTGTTGGGAGTAATACGGTACAAAAGTAATTAATTACTGTAATGCATTGCTTTTTGCTGTAATGTGGTAATGTAAGGCATTACAGGGAAAGAAAATGGTAATATTTACTCGGTACAATTGTCAGTAACGCGGTAATTACAATGCATTTTTAAACCCAGAATCAAGATGTGTTCCTTAAAAATTCAAATTGCGGGAAACCCGAAGAAAGATCCAGTATCTGCATATATTACATCATTTATGGACTCAGCTTTGCGGGCAGAGAGGATGCAGCGGTAACGGCTCAGCTACTCCAGCTGCGTCCTCCACGCGGCCGCTGTAACATTCACAAAATCGCTCCACTAAAACAAAATAATTCACCTGCGATCGTTCATATCAGCGCATATTCTCTGGTATTTTGTGCTTTTCTGACGTGCTTTGCCAAAGCTGAGTTCATAATCTGTGCCCCGGTGATTTCAACTCATTACTGCTGGAGCGCCGCGCATGTGAAGATCCCTTTGGCTGATAGTTAGAAAGTAGGAAGTCTAGGAAACAGTTTTTTCTGGAAGACGGAGAAAACATGCAGCATGCAGGAAGGTTAGAGAGAGAAAGGGCAGGAAATTATTCACATAAAATCAAGAAGAAAAAAACAAAGTGCTTGAAAAGAAAAAAAGTAGGTAGATTTATCCCCAATACACATTTTTACCAGTGAAAAGCAATAATATATAAGCATTTAATATTTATACATGTGATAGAATCAGATCACCCCAGAAGTCAGTTCCACATCCAGGGCCGTATCAAGGCATTTGGGGACCAAGGCAAATATAGGCTTGGAGCCCCCACCACCTCACTCCCTGCTCAGTTAATCTAAGATGGCAGCGTGCTGAGAGTACAGATTGTTGTTGCATTTATTTAATAAAGCACTGTTATTATATCTGACTGTTTTTAACAGCAGTCCTAGCTCAGACACCACATCACCTTCCACATATATGTCATGAGCTCACTGAGCGTCACATGACCAGATTCATACTGAAGTTGTTTTGGTGAAAGTAACTTAAAGTAATGCAAAAGTAGTGTAATGCCTTACATTTTAAAATCGTAATATTGTAATGTAATGAATTACTTTAAAATGAGGGTAACAAGTAATAAATAATGCATTACAGTTTTGAAGTGACTTGCCCAACACTGATAACAAGTAAGATTGGGTTTTGCAATATGGCAGCCTCTAAGGTTTATTTTAGAAAGATTTTTAAATGAAGTAAAGTTAGTAAAGAACACGTTTCAATTGGCTGCTAAAAACTGTTGGACTTGAAACGGGCCTGTTGTAGAAACAACTTGGCATAAATGATTCTTCCTTCCTTTTTTGTCTTAACCAAAGAAATTCCAGTAATTGAGCAAAAACATTTTTTACATCACATTTTATAAAATAACAGGACACAAAGTGTCGGTACATTTAAAAAAAACGTTAAATAATAAAAGGGGCCCAGAGAGCTGCAGAGTGAGTGGAACATTGGGTTGTGAAGGAAGAACAGAGTTGTCAACAGTGTTATGGCTATAGATAAAATATATCAATGACACGTTAGCTATAACAGTCAGGGATATGTTTATCCTGTTTGCCTGAAAATAAATTTGTCCTAAAGGCCAAATTCAAAAGCAGCGAGACTCCCACCTGGAAGTCTTTCACTGCTTTTGGAGCTGGCCATTAAGACAATCTGCAATATTAGTTAAAAATATATCATTTCCCCTGTTTGTGAAATGAACTCTGTCTGACAAAAATATCCCTGGACTGTCATGTCTGATGTGAGGATGCACAACAATGGCACCATTTAAGCTAGAAATAAATGTAGCCAAAACACTGTTGACAGACCTCCTGGCCTTCTCAGTTTTAGCAGGTTTTACACCTGCCCTCCATCTACACCTTTAGGTGATGGACGACATGATAATCGTCATATGAGGGTGTAGAAGGTGAAGCCGGTGCAGGTCCTCCTTCATCTTGTTGACCAGCTTCACACTGCTGACCACCCCCATGTCATTCCATGCAGGGAGTGGAAAAAGAAGGGGAGAAGGTCTTTCCACCTCAGTCCGCCCCAACCGAACCAGGAGACACGGACGTCAGGGAGGCCAAGGTTGTCTCCGAGGGTCTCTGCAGCTCTCTGGGCACCACGCCTGACGTAGCTGTCTCCAATGATCCAAATGGCTATGGAGAAAACAATAACAGGTTTGGCCTAGCTGTTTAAAGTACAAAATCATACATGAAGTGGTCAAGACAGGTACATGGTACTTACACTTGCTGCTTTGTGTAGCTGACGTTGAAGACACACAGGCTGCCATGGTGACCTTTTAACAGATCTCAGAAAAAAAAATGTAATAAAAGAATGAAAGTTAAAAACTCCCAGACCTCATTTCATGATTGCTAATCAGCTATGGCTGATTTATTGTTTGGATCACAGTGAGTTACACTAATTCTAATATATTTTTATTTCTATTACACATACATACTTTTTAACTGTTATTTTCACATGACTGTTATCAGGCTCTCTTGTTCTGGTTCTCATGATAATAATTCTGTTTCTTCCAGTAAGTTGTCTTGTGCTTACTTCATCTGTATAATGTCTCTTTACTTTTGGTAAATTGTACTGAGTCCAGAATAAAGGCTACTTGGCTGTACACGATACAAACAAGTATTACGTTTTGGAAATATATGAAATGTATTTAGCCTGCTAATTTATCTCAAATACTAATAACTACCGTATTTTCCGGACTATAAGTCGCACTTTTTTTCATAGTCTGGCCGGTCCTGCGACTTATACTCTGGAGCGACTTATATACCAAATTTTGTAGGCTATACCACGCTGCTGCGGGCTGGCTCTGGACCAGGAATGAGCTCCCCTGCCCCGCTGGGAATAAAAAACCACACAGCCATCACCTGCTGGAGCCTGTTGCACACTGGATCCGGCCCAAGTTTCAGCTCCTCTGCCCCGCCATCACCTGCTGCAGCCTGTGTAGCGCTGCTGCGGGCTGGCTCCGACCCAGGAATGGGCTCCCCTGGCCCGCTGGGAGGGATTCAAACACCGCCATCCTCTACTGGAGACCGTGACGCGCTGCTGCGCCCGCATTGTTTATTCTGTTATTGTTACCGGTACTTGTCTTGCAATGTGAAATGCTTGGTCTCAGATTTTGTAAGAAAAATAATAAAATTTCCCCCCAAAATGCGACTTATAGTCCAGTGTGACTCATATGTTTATTTCTTCTTCATTATACTTTTTATGGCTGGTGCGACTTACACTCCGGAGTGACTTATAGTCCGGAAAATACGGTACGTTAAAATATTGAAAACTTGCTCAAAGGAAAAAATGTTTTCATTAAGGAAATAACTTATAAACTTACCGATTTAATGCTTTTTTTATTCACAGAAAGATAGTTTTCATGAAAAAGTACCGCAAACCTCCACACAAACCGTGTGAGCTTCAGGTCGCTGGTGTTCCACAGAGTTAGCTCCGGTTGTAGCTAGGTTGCTACCTCCGTTAGCTTAGCTCCCACCTCCACGTTAGCTTTGGATTAGCTTCAGGTTAGCTTGTAGCTAGTTCGACCGGGTGTCGTCATTTGATCCCAGCCTTACAGCCCCACCCTCAGCTCCACCTCTCTTCCCTTTTGTGGAACTGTCTGGGCTTGACGGAACTTGTGACACGGTCAAAATGACGGTGGTAGCCACCTCCCATTTTTCTTCCAAAACGTGTTATTGGGTGTATGGAAATCCATTGTCCATATATGTATGTCGATGATCTGAACACGTATTCAGCGTCTATCAGCACCCTTTCATGCATGTCAAAAGTCACGAGAGAGAACGTGAAGCTAACCGTAAGTTATTGAGAAAAGGCGGGCGTGCCTTTCAAAATAAGAGCACGAACTCCGGTTTCATCGGAAAAAGGAAGCATTTTACAATGATATATTCACAGCATTCACACTCCCACCAATCACACTGTGATTCGTTTAAACTATTTACAATAACTTGTTAAACAACAACAAAAAACTTCCAACAGTAAACAAAGGCCCCTTCTTAAGATAACCCTTTACTCTGCTTCTAGTAATAGCACTGTTTTGTGTATGGCTCTCTCTAAATAAAGTGGCTGGGATGTGCGCTTGCCTCTTTTGTCCGGTGATGTGTTACTAACAGCTTGACTCTTCTAACCCTGTTGTCTGCCGCTGGGAAGACTTCCACTACCCTTGCCAACTTCCACTGGTTTCTTAACAGGTTGTCATCCAACAGCAAGACAATGTTATTTACTTTAGCATTCCTTCTCTCGGTAGTCCATTTTCTTTTTGTTGTAGATTGAGCAAATACTCCATTTTCCACCTGGTCCAAAACTCCACCTTTGATAGAAGCTGAACCCTCCTCCATCTTTTCTGAAGATATAAATCTTCCTTCATGAACTCACCAGGCAGGAGCATGATGACTGAAGATTTCATTGTGAGGGTATGACTGGGGGTCGGAGGTTCTGGGCCTGATGGATCACTGAGATGAACAGTGGTCAAAGGTCGACTATTCACTATAGCATCACCTCATATGTGTGTTCTCAGCGATGAGCTGTCAAGTCAACCTGCAGATTGGTCAAGGATAGATGTGAGGACACTCCTTAAGGTTGGTTTATGCTTGACGCGTCCGCGAGGTCCGCATGGCTCCACGCGGAAAAGTTGCGTCATTTTGCGTCATTTTAACAACCACGCCCCTCCACCGCGTCTCCGCACGGCCCAAGATTTCCGCAACGCGCACCTCGGAAAATTTCTAACCACGTGGACGGTCGGACACGGAAAAACATGGCGGACTGGCACGGCAGAGGTTCGTAAATACAGACATTTGTATGATTCAGCTCTCAGAGATCACCGTGATCAACATGTTAATAATTCTTGGAGAGAAATAGCTCGCACTGTCGGAAAAGACGAGAACGCTGTTAAAAATGCTGAAATGCCATGTTGTAAACAGTCATTTCTACTTCTACTATGGTGTAGTGTTGGATGCATGCTGTAGAGCTCCATGCTGCCCCGTTCAGTTTGGGAGAATATTGGCTCACCGCAGAGACGAGCCGCACAAACCATAAACGCTGTGAGTTGTGAAGCGCGTTCCAGCTGCGAGCCGCATCACCGCGCGGAAAGTGAATGCGTCAAGCATAAACCAAGCCTTACAGTGCAGATCTGCCTCTCCCAGACTCCGCCCATGTGACTGGAAGAAGGAGGATTCATCACAAAGATGCATCCAAGATCTTTCACACGTTCCTCTGATAGTCCTTTCATCATGTTTTGGAACTCATTTCGCGCACCTACGAAATTGGTACCTTGATCGCTTTGAAGTTGTCTCACATTGCGATGAAACATCGGAATGCATTCAGGAAGGCATCAGAAGAAAGGTCATCCAGTACTTCTAAGTGAATGGCTCTAGAGCACATGCATGTAAATATGAGCCCATATTTCTTTAGCTCCTTCCTTCCTTCTCTGACATAGAATGGACCAAAACAGTCCATTCCACTGTACGTGAACGGAGGTGTACTTTCCATTCTCTCAGGTGGAAGATCGGCCATTTTTTGTTCTTGGTTAGACTTTCTGAACTTCCTGCACTTTACACACTTGAAGATAAAGGATGACACTTCGCCATTACACCCAAGGATCCAGAAGCCATTGGCACGAACTTCATTGATTGTCATTCCACGACCTTGATGACACACCTTCTCATGACAGTGCTTAAGTAAGAGACGGGAAAAAAGATGTCCTTTAGGAAGAATGACTAGGTGTCTGATATGTGTGTGACAGTGTGAGTGTCCTGTTACAATGTCCCGATTGATCATGCGCCCTGGCTACTTGGCCAAGGGGATGTCCCTTTGGCTGACTGGTTAGAGCGTATGACTCTCACCCGGGAGTCTGGGGATTGAATCCCGCCCGGGCCCTCGTTTATCCACCTTGCCACATGTGGATGAAGTGCTGCTTGTGTCAACCTTCCTCCCACCCTCAAGATACCCAGTCTGTCCAAGAATGGGCTTAGCCTCTGGAGGGAAGTTGACTTGTTCCTTTTGACTTCTTCCTCTTGGCTCAGTTCTTTGATCTCCTTGTTGAATGCTTCCCTTTGAACCAATTTGATTACAAATTGTTCAGCTTCTTGTCTTTCTTCAAGTGTGGTGAGTTCTTTTGATCTTGCCCTTAAACACTTTAGTTCCTTTGCAAGACGCTTGAGCCTATCTATGGCCTTTGTTACTCTCCTCCAGTCTGAGAACTTCTCAAGATGTTCCAGTAGTGATTTTTCTTCCTTCGCTTTGGTTGTGAGAACCTGTGCTCCCTTGAGTTCTGGATCGACATTGTTGATTTCTTCAACCTGAGTCTCTTCCTGTTTAGGGATATACCTTTGCCATAGAAAGTGGGGCCCAGTAAACCAGCTAGACTCCACAAGCTTATTGGCGGTTGGCCCGAGAGATGCATGGTCTGCTGGGTTATCTTCAGAGGCAACATATAGCCACTGACTTGGTTCGGTACTTGATTTAATTTGTTGAATTCTGTTGGCCACAAATACATGGAACCTCCTTGCATCATTATTGAGGTATCCAATGACGACCTTTGAGCCAGTCCAAAAGAATTGCTGCAAGTCTTCCAGCTCCATTTCTTGTTTCAGCAGTTCACTTGTCTGTGCGGCTACAACCGCAGCTGAGAGCTCCAATCTTGGGATTGTTGTCGCTCTTGTTGATGCAACTCTGGTCTTTCCCATAACGAAAGCGCAGTGAACTTCTCCGGACTTGGAAATAGTTCTAAGGTAAGAACATTCTCCGTAGCCAGATGAACTTGCATCAAAAAATTGTGAAGTTCATACTGCTGAACCTCCTTGGCTGTGAATAGTGTGTAACACCGTGGTATTTCAACCGAAGGCAGATTGTAAAGATCTTGAAGCCAAGCATCCCAGTGTGGCTTTAGGTAATCAGGAAGGGGCTCTTCCCAACCCACCTTGTCCTGGCACATTTTCTGTAGGATAATCTTTCCAGTTAGGATGAAAGGTGCCAAAAATCCAAGGGGATCAAAGATTGAAGCTACAGTGGACAGTACTCCTCTTCTGGTGAATGGATTTTCTTTAATTTCAACTCGAAACTGGAACTTGTCGGAACTGATGCTCCATTGGACACCAAGAGCTCTTTCCATTTTTTGTTCTCCAAAAGCCATGTCAAGGTTGGTTGCTCCATCAGCACACTCTTCTTTTGGAAATGTGTCTAGCACTACTTTCTTATTGCTGATGAACTTGTGCAAGCAAAGCATTCCAGTGCTGCAAAGCTCCCTTGCTTCTTGGACAAGCTGAATAGCTTCAGCTTCGCTGTCTACACTTGTCAATCCATCAGTTCAATTCAATTCAATTCAAGTTTATTAATATAGCGCCAAATCACGACAAGAGTCGTCTCAAGGCACTTCACATAATAAACATTCCAATTCACAGTTCATTAAGCCAAGCAGAAATAATGTTTCCTATATAAGGAACCCAGCAAATTGCATCAAGTCACTGACTAGTGTCAGTGACTATACAGCAATCCTCATACTAAGCAAGCATGCAGCGACAGTGGAGAGGAAAACTCCCTTTTAACAGGAAGAAACCTCCAGAGAATCCTGGCTCAGTATAAGCAGCCATCCTCCACGACTCACTGGGGATCGAGAAGACAGAGCAGACACACACACACACACGCACGCACGCACGCACACACACACACACACACACACACACACACACACACACGTAATGTGTCTATAGTTATATTGTGATGTCTTAGTAAATATTGTATTTGGTGAAAGATAAACTTTATTGTATTTATCCTAGTGGATCTATAATTAAACGGATGAACTAGTATTAGCACATCAAAAGTCAATGAAAACAAAAAGCTATTATCAGGAGAGGGAGAATGTTTTAGTGGTTAGCAGCAGTGTGCTAGTCGATGGCCCCCTCCATGAGGCCACCACAGCTCAGCAGAACGTCGTTGTAGCTTCTTCTGGGGAGAAAAACACTTACAGAGAAAATAAAGTTAACAGCTGAAATTGCACAAAATAGTACAGTTAAAGAGCAGACTGTAGAATAAAGTAGTAAAGTGTGAAAAGTGGTCAGTTTTCCTCCAGCAGTCTAAGCCTATAGCAGCATAACTACAGAGACAACTCTGGATAATCTATCCTATTTAGATGTAGGCATGTTGGAGGCAGGGCAAGGGAGAGCCATCTTTACCGACTGTACACTCCACCTCCCTGTACTCCCCCACTTGTCCAGATCTAGGCTAACATCAGATTTTAACTATAGGCCCTATCAAATAAAAATGTTTCAAGCCTATTCTTAAAAGTAGACAAAGTGTCTGCCTCATCATCATCAACGTAAATGTTGCGCTGGATGAACTTCACTGTTTGCTCACTGAACTGTCCATCTCCTTGAGCTGCCAGGTGTTTAAGCCCGAAGTTGGTGCATCCTGGTGAAGATGCAGCACCAAACAAGTGGACCTTCATACAATACACTGATGAAGGATCGTCCATTTTGCCATCCTCCCACCATAGAAATCTGAGGTAGTCTTGGTCTTGTGGTGCCACATGAAACTGATTAAACAAATGTTCCACATCACACATAATGGCTACCTGTCCCTTTCTGAAATGAAACAGGACCCCAGTGAAATTATTTGTGAGGTCTGGTCCAGTCAACAGATGTTTGTTGAGTGATATGTTCTGAAATTGGGCAGAACGATCAAACACGACTCTAATTTTTCCAGGCTTTTTAGGGTGATAAACCACATGGTGGGGAATATACCATGCTGTTTTACTGTCTATTTCTGTTTTTGGAACTCGTTCGGCATCCCCTCTTTCTATCATGTCCTTCATGAAGGCCAAATAATCTTTACAACACTTCTCATCCCTTTTTAGACGTTTTCTCAGGCATTTTAGTCGATGTCAGCACATGCTCTGTTGTTAGGTAGACTTGGCTTCTCTGCTTTGAAAGGCAATAGCATCTGGTAGTGTCCGTCCTGCTTCTGCTTTATACCTTCTTTCAGTATTGCAAGGAACCACAAGTCTTCTTGTGATATTAGAGCTTCTCCACCCTTTCTTTCAAAGAAGTCTGACTCAAAAACCTTAATCATGTCTGATGGGGAGATAACTTCTTTAACTTGGGTTCTAACAGAAAAGTAGACTTCTGACTTAAGTTCAGAAGAAGGCATTGTGAGTGTTGTGACTTGCTTCGCAATGATGTGGTGACTTACACCTATTCCATCTTCATAGTCATTGGCAGTACTGTTATAGCCGACAATGCTCCAACCCAGCACAGACTTGAGTGCAAAAGGCTGATTTTCACTTCCATGGATAACTTCTCTTGGAGCCAGAGCCTGAGAACAATAACCAATTAGTAAACGACCTACCTCACAATCTAGTTCTTGCAACATCTGCTCTGCAAGATTTTCTGAGTGAGGCCAGGCCTCTTCAGTTTCACTTGTGGGAAATCAGCTCTGTTAGCCAGTATATACTCCCTAGTGTAGCTTACTGGAAGCTTGATCTTAACTTCAGACTTCAACTTTGCCCGCTTGCAGCTCCGAATGGGAGGGGAGAAAACACGTTTTGCTTGCTGTGGGTCTCTCATTAATCAGAACACGTATTCAGCGTCTATCAGCTTCCTTTCATGCATGAGAAAAAGTCACCGAGAGAGAACGTGAAGCTAACCGGAAGTTATTGAGAAAAGGCAGGCCTGCCTTTCAAAATAAGAGCACGAACTCTGGTTTCATCAGAAAAAGGAAGCATTTTACAATGATGTATTCACAATATTCACATGGGGAGCTAGTGGAAAGCATTGAATTCAAACATAGGCTGCAGTTTTTGGTTAGGTAGCATTTGCTTCAGCATCAGTTTAACTATAAATAAACACTATTTCGTATCAACCACTGAGAATCTTCACTAGTGCCATAATAGCAATTCCTATAGAATGGTGATTTTCCAAGTCAAGACAATTTGGCTGGAAAATAAACAAGATTATGAACGACCTTGAATTACATCAAACTGACATGATGTTATTCAGTCAGCATTAGAGGTTACCTTTGATTGATACTCTAACTCTGGTGGATAGAAAAAAATTAAAATGAAAAATCAAATCAAAGCTAATATTTCAGATCAATTGAAATAATAAATGTGTCTATGTTCGGGTTAATACAGCTGCTTTAAAAGATTCAAATATCATGAGTGGTTCTTCCAGGATTTGGTTTTAAAAAGGCAAAATAATAGTTCATTTCATCAATGTTATTTCATTTTTATTTTGAGTCAGTAATGTGCCGTAAAATAAACAATTAACAACAGAAATTACAAAAATAGGACATCAGCACAATTGGGTCTAAATTTAACAAAAATGCTCTAAATGGAGTGAGGAGAAGAAAAACTTTACCTCACTTCAATCGAGGACAGTGATTGAACATCAAAATACATGAGCTAAATGCAGCTTTTATTGAGGAAGTTGATTCATTACATAGTTTATTTTATTCAGATTCCAGTTGTTGATTATTTTCCTTGAAACATGACAGCTTCTTTTAGAAGAGAAATAGCTGCATCTGGACCTTTAATACAAAGATTTTATTTCGTTTATCCTGAGCAACTTTGTAGTTACACTCTAGTCCAGTTGGTGGCGGTAACGCATCAAAAGGTAGCTTGCATCCGCTATTTAACAAAACGAAGAAGACAAGGAGCTCGCCTAATGTGTGACGTATTTCCGTCTTCATCAGAGTGATCGTTTTCGGTCGTCGGCCATTCAACGATACGACACGACCAGACGTTGTTTAAAAGGCATTTACAGAAAAATTTTCACCCCCATTTTGTTCTCCAGTGCATTACTAACTATTTTGCCGAATTTACAATTTCATCACATGTCGCTTGTTGGGAAAGATTCGATTCAGTAGCGTCCGTCCTCATGTACGTAGGCCGACGTTATCTTTGTTAGCTTCTCCGGGCTAACTGTAAAGTTTTAGCTTCTTTTGGCTTAGTTTTACACAATGTATCCCTCCTGGGGGAACTATGGGGCGCCTCCGTCGCAAAACTACGGAGGGTCTGGACCTCGTAAGCCTCCTATGGGTGGTCATGCAGAGCAAGCTGGAGGATTCGGCGGCTTCGAGGCCTCAACCAGCAGCAGCAACTCGCTGTTCTCCAGCCTTCAGGAGCAGCACCGTCAACAGATGGAGCAGCTTCAGATGCTGCACCAGAAACAGCTCAAGTCTGTGTTGCATCATGGTAACAGCTCCCCTGCGTTCGGTGGTGGAGGTGGACACTCCGGTGGTTTTACTGGCTCTCAGTGGCATTCAGAAGAAACGGGATACGCTGAAGAGGTTGGTGATGGTCACTCGTATTTTCATCAGGATCAGGCTCAGATGCCAAGAGGGCGTGCGGCTCCCAACCAGGGACCCCAACCGCCTCCTCCACCGCCACCTGCACCGCAGAAGCACGCCGAGGTCCCGCCTCCTCCAGAGCCACCACTACCACCAATCGAGGCTCCTGGAACTAAGGAAGCCAGTAGTAATAATGCAAATACAGCTGAGGATAATACTTCCTTACATCTGCAGGTAATGTCTTTGTTTTTCCACTTGATAAACAGTTAATGCAGCTGACATTTATATTTATGCACACCCACTCGCCAAACAGCTACAAAATAAAAACAAGTAAAAAGTGTGCCACATTGCTAACCTTTAAGTGAGTTTTGATTTTTATAAGTTATGCGGTATGTTTTTGTTAAAATGAGCAGACACGTTTCACAATCCTTAATTGCAAAAATACATTTTGTAGCCCAACGTTAAGAGAAAAAATAATATTCTGCATGTTTACACGCCCAAGGATTGCCATGTTTGGTGATTATGTGTTAATTTTTTTTAATTCATATTTCATCATAACTTTGGGCGTGTAAAAAAAAGTATGGAAAATGATAAATAAAGTCTTTGTGGGATCTTTCTTAGTCTGCTTTTTTCCACCAGGAGCAGCAGCACCTGTGGTACAAACAACATCTTGAAAATCTACAGAAGTTGAGACAAGAGAAAGAGAAACAGAATCAGAAACAAGGTGATGCTTCTCTGCCGCCTCAGCCACCCCCATGTCAAACTGCTCCACCTCCTCCACCTCCATCAGAACCATTGAAAAGTGCACCGCCTCCACCCCCTCCGAAAGATGAGGCTCCTGCGCCCCCTCCACCACCTGTGGTAGTAAAGGTGAGGATTCTTCACACATGGCACATTCAAAGTGCTTTACAGAAGCAAGAACAGCAAACACAGTGAATCAAACTAAGAAATGTAGATTCATTTGAGATAAAAGGCATAGTCAAAAGGTTAGCAGTTACAGAGCAGAAAGTGCTGCATAAGAAACATTTATTCAAAGGCTGATGAATACATGAAGGTTTTTAATTTTGATTTAAAAGTTACTAGAGTTTAGGGCACATTTGAGGTCATGAAGAAGCTGATTCCATCTGTGTGCAGCATAGTGACTAAAAGCAGCTTCACCCTGTTTGGTTCTGACCCACGGTTCTACCTGCTGACTGTTTGACAAGTTCAAGTAATACCTTACCATAGGGATGGGTACCGAATTCGGTACTTTTTAAGGTACCGACCGAATTCCACAGTACCGACCGAGCACCGATTCACGTCATTTCAAACGGTGCCTCGTTTCGGTACCCGTCCTTCATAAAGAGAACTTGCCAAGACAGCTGCGCATGCGCAAGAGCGTTATGTCGTCGGTCGCTGCGAGCGAGTTGTAAACAGAGCAACATGGTAGAAAGAACGATGATGAAACCAGCGACAACGATCTAAGTGAGACATCCTCATCTTAATCTGCTCCGGTAGGTAAATAAAATGTTTAAGATAACGTTAGCTTGATTTGTTAGCTTCCGTCTAGCTAATGGTGCGTTCGCTTTCTCCTCGGAACTCAGAATTTCTGACTAGAAGAACATGAACGCGCTCTAAAGTTTGGCTTCACTTTACTAAATGCGACGGGTGAAGATGATACCAGCGACAACGATCTAAGCGTGAGGCATCATCGTTTTAATCTGCTCCAGCAGCTAAATAAACTGTTTAAGATAATGTTAGCTTGATAAATTAGCTTCCATTGCCACCATTGTTATCAGCTAATGGTGCGTTCGCTATCTCCTCGGAAATTCTAACTTCCCAGTAGGAAAAATCAAATGAAAAAGGACAGCAAAAGGAATGAAGATACACAGTAAATTTAGTTCACAGTAAAGATGTTTGCTTCAGTTTAATTATCAGCTTATAAAACTACAAGGACAATGTTAAAATACAAACAGTTGTATGTTATTTATCGTGATATTTATCAAATATGGTTATATATTGAGAAAAATGTATATTTAATTATAAAAGAGAGTTAAAATAATAAACACTCAAAAGTATCGAAAATTGGTACCGTTAAGTACCGGTATCGATTCCTAGGTACCGGGAATTAGTACCGAATCGATTCAAATGTCAAAGGTACCCATCCCTACCTTACCAACAGATGGCCATTAGGGTTAAAAATCCTTAGGAGCGCAACCTCCAGCAAAATAACAAGAGCATCAGATTTCTTTTAATAACTCGCAATAAGTGAAGAGGTAAATGTGTAAAACGTTTATTAATGCTGAAAGTTTTATAACAATTTGCTACAAATCAGGAAATACATTCTGTCCTCACGGGCTTATATGCTGTGAAACTGCCAACGTTTTTCAACAGCTGGGTGTCTTTTAATTCATTTACAACAACATTTCAATGGATATTTCCAGAAATTAATGGTAAAAACTACACATTGTCACCTTAAGACTAGCAGCAACATTCTCAATAAGCTGCAGTTGTTTTACAGCTGTTTTGGGAAGACCATTGCAATAGTCCAGCCTGCTGGAGATGAATGCATGAATGAGTTTCTCTTGGTCTTGTTTTGACATGAGACATCTGAGCCTTGCTAATTGATGGAGATGATAAAACGCTGATCTAGGTGTAGTTTTAATGTCACCAGTGAAGCTCAACTCTGAAGCAATGGTAACACCAAGATTTCTAACTTGGGTCTTTGCCTTTATTCCTTTAGAGCTAAGTTGAGGAATAACTTCCAACCTATCCTTATTTCCAAAGACAATAACTTCAGTCTTGTTTTTGCTTAACTGACGGACACTTGATTGCATCCAGTCATTGACTTGCTCTAGGCACTGACCGAGTGAGTCTAGGGGACCAGATTCATTAAATATGTTAAATGTGTGAAGGTTTGGTTTAGGGATATTACACAATGCAAAACATTCCTTAAAGGCAACAATGTTTAATCCAAATAATCAGTTTTAATTGTGTTCTCTAGTATTAGTTGTTTTTCTTATGCATGACAAAAGTGGTGTGTACCTAATGGCTGTTCAGTAAGCTTCTTAGAAACAAATTTTGATCAGATCTCAAGAAAATTGGGTAGCACTGCAGCATTTAAAAAAAAAAATGAAATATTTTTTAATTTCTTGGCCCAAACAAAGTTGGTCCTTATTTTACAAAAAATGGCTACCTAAAACATGTATATGCATTTGTAATTAAGTCATTCAGATAAACTTTATTAGATTATTATTTATTTATTTTACTGAACAGCCTTGAAGCACATTCCAAGTCAGGTTTTCTAGGGGATTTGTCTTGCAGACTAAATCTTTTTATATCATTTGCACAAATTTGCAGAGTGGAAATGTTGGAAACCCATCCACAGTTACAGACACAGTAAGTCATACTGACCACTTCCCCATAAACACAATATCTTGGTATTTAACCATAGTTATTGTGATTCCTGTCATTTCCTGAATAGGGTTGGGTACCACACCTGCCTCTCATTTGCACTTTTCTGTCTAAATAGATACTTGAAACATAAAATATTTTAAAAAATATTTCAAAAGACCTTTCTTTGACCTGCTTTTTCATATTAACCTACAAGTGGACATCTGAAGGCCAAATCTGGCATGCTAGCACTTAAGTCATGTGATTACATTAAGAATAATGCTATCAAGTGTACATTGGCCATAAACTACAACTCCTATGATGCTTTTCAATTTTATGCCTGCCAAAGTAACGATATCCCACCAGCATCCACCACATTGGATGCATTTTTTTAGGCGAATCTTTAAAGTTAGACTTTGGCCCTGTCCACACGTAGCCGGGGATCTGCCAAAACGTAGATATTTTCCTACGTTTTGGCCTGTCATCCACACGAAAACTGAGTTTTTTCACATGAAAACGGATCTTTTTAAAAACTCCGGCCAAAGTGAAGATCTGCGTTTTCTCCGTTTTGGGTGTCTGCGTGTGGACAGACAAAACTGGAGTTTTAAGGTCCGCAACGTCACTTTCCGCTACAAAAAAATGCTGACATCACGTGTGCGACCTGTGTTTACACTAGCCGGCATCATGGAAGCCTTCAGAGCTGCGCTCTGTCACTACCCGATCCATCAATTGTCCAAGCGCTTTCTGCTTGTTTGTTTTTGCAAACGGAATTACTGCTCCTTGCGGAAGACCACAGACGAAGGACGAGGTTAAGAACGGGGGAAGTACTGCCGCCTACAGGTCTGGCATGTCCTTAACAACGTATTTATCTGGGTACGTGTGGACAGAGTTTGTTTTTAAAACGCGGTGGTGTGGATGCAAGTTTTTGGAGGGGCGGATATTCGTTTTTAAAAAACCCCGGCTACGTGTGGACTAGGCCTTTAACAAATAAGAACAAAATGTTTAAGAAGAGAATATTTTTATGTAAAGGAAAAAAAATAGTCCGAACGGTCATATCCAATGTCGCTTTGTGGTGAGAAAAAAAAATTAACACTGATTTAAAGTGTAAGACTACACTGGCTGTTGGAATAATACCCATCCACAATAACAGCAGCTTATTGCTGCATACTATGCGTATAACGCTTTTGCCTTTGGTGGAAAAGCCTGATTGTGGTGGATGCTAGCTTGTGTAGTATCCATCCCATTATTGAAGTCTGCTGCTAAAGTAAATGTTACTATAGGTTGTTGATTAAGGACCCGAATCAGCCAACTCTCAGCTTGACTGGCTTAACGGATATTTCACCATTGTTTACATCCTGCCAATGGTGTAGCTCTTCATACATCTTAATACCGTCTAGCTTCCTCCACATTTTACCAAGGTGCACCGTATCACTGGGACTAATTTAAAAATGAAGACATAAGCCTCAAATGGAATTACCAAACTGTTGGTTTGAAACTTCACCATTCAGAAACTGAATAACAAACACTATTACTTAAAAGATAACAACATAACAAACATAATATTAACAACTCAAAAAAAATAACGCAGCTGATAAAAAGATTTTACGCCAGATAAACTAGCATGTTTACCTTTTCTGGCTTCAACATAGAACATTGTATACTGATTGCTGAAAACCCGCTTTGATGAGCTTGTGGCACAGACATACGGGTACTTTGGGGCTAGTTGCGACACCTGGGGAGGGCTAGCTGCTTATTTCCACCAGAAAAGAATGCTGTCGTCTAAACAGAAGTCTGCTATTTCAGCTACACCTTTCTCCTCCGCAGTTCCAACGAGGCATGCATCTTTCGCAGTCATCATTTGTTTGCACAAATAACCACATCAGTGTTTACTGGCTCTTCCTTTAAGTTTGCTTCGAACCCAAATACTCCCAAACCACAGAAGTTGAGTTCTTTTAAGATACCAAGTCAGTTGCTGCGTGAGCTGCTATTGTCTCGGTGCACCGTGTCGGTGCTGTCATGTGATCACGTTCATGAACTTTATGAACGTCTCTAAAATTTGGACAGCCCCTTTAAACTATTTAAGTAAAACTGAAAATTCAACCACGCAACTTTTTCAAACATTAAATGGTTGTTGTTAATCTTTTTATATATTTATTTTTTAAATCTTTGTCTCCTACATGCACTGTTTTTTTGTTTTTCATGACTGTATTGGAACTGACACAGTTGCTATTGTTTAACATCGGCTGTATACGGTAATACCCCCAAGCCCACTTCATAGTACTTAAGCATTTAGAGATGTGTTTAGTGGAATTCAAGTATAATAAAATACAAGAGCAACACTAGCAAAAGTGTGTTGGGAATTTGTTCAGTTGTACATAACTAAAATAATAAGAGTTAATTGTATTTCTTCTTTTTTTTTTAAACACCGTTTAATTAAAAAAAATCCTGGCGCGTCTTGACTAATTCCTCTAGTCATCTTCAGAGTTGCCAGTGGAATCGCTTCCGTTTATCTTTGTACTAAACTGTGTAAAAAAAGAAAGATATGTATTACATAGATAAACGCAGAACAAACGTACAAAAGAGTAGAGTAAAATGTGTTTGGCAACTTGAAATGTGTGCTGCATTAATTTGAAAGCACGATGAAGCTATGAATAGTCGTAATCATGGTGATTGGTTAGTAATCAAAATGAAGGACCCTGAGTCAAAATCAAATCGTGAGGTACATAAGATGGCACACCCCTAAAAAGGACCCAACCTTATTCATTCTTTTGTTGTGCAACTCTACCTTTTTAAATGTTTTATGTTATTCAGTTTTGAACTGCTTGATTTTAGTCAGTGATTTTTTTTTGTTTTGTTTTGTTTTAAGTTCTGTAGTGACTTGACTCCTTTAAAACATGTCATCTTCAACCAGACATATTTAAAAAAAAATTCAAAATAGAAATTATGAGATATACTCTAACATTTGCTTAACATTTGCTTAATTCTATCTAAAGCCTGATGCTCCAAAAGACCCTGAAGAAGCTGTTCGTCTCCAGCAGTTACAGGCTGCAGCAGCACAGTGGCAGCAGGTGCAACAGCAGAGAACCAATTTACAGTACCAGGCACTCATGCAGCAACATGAAAAGCTTCAGAAGATCCTTGAACAATACCAGCAGCTGATTCAACAACCATCAGACCTACAGGTAGATCAACTCTTAAGAGTGTAATGCAAGTCATCAGTTTCACTTGTACTAGAGCTTAACTGTATTGCCCTTTTTTCAGTCGATGCCTGCTGAAATGCAACTGAGACACTATCAAATGCAACTGCAACAGTTCACTCTTTTATTCCAAGACTGGGTTAGATCATTTGCCTTGTGGTATGAGCAGTTTCAGACTTATCCCCACAAAGATCAACTACAGGACTATGAGCACCAGTGGAAGCAGTGGCAAGAACAGATGAATGCCACCAATGCCCACCTTCAAGAAAGGGTAGCCACTATTTCTGCCATTGTACCATTTGCCTCAAACCAGTACAGTAGTGCTATGGTGGGACAGTTTGGTCAATACCCTGGACAAGGTATCCAAATGCAGCAGCAAGAAATAATCCCAGGTATTCAGCAACCTCCAGTTGCTGTTGGTAACATAACTCAAAGTCAGCAACCTCCTCCTTTTTTATCACAATCGGAACCACCTGCTGGACCCCCTTTGCAGGCAAGTGCTCCCACTGGACTTGGAGTCAGACCCCCTGGGCCACCACCTGGACAACCATCAAGTTTTGATGAAAGCGGAACTCTAAGGTCAGTTGGGACTGTTCTCTTCTTAGATAGGTGGAGTTGATTTTTCTTTTAAAGCAAAATGTGATGCAATGTAATTATTTATAGTAATAGTTTACATGTTCTCTTTTTACTGATCTCAGGAAAAACATATTTGACCAGCCACCAGAAGACCTTGAAGGTCCTACAACGTTTGGTCAGCCACCACGAGGTTTTAATGGTCCTCCAATGTTTGACCAGCCCCCGCCTCGTTTTGATGGCCCTCCACGGTTCAACCAGCCTCAGCAGCGTTTTGATGGCCCTCCACAGTTCAACCAGCCTCAGCAGCGTTTTGATAATCCACCTCAATTTGACCAACCAAGGCAGCGCTTTGAAAGGCCACCTAGATTTGACCAACCACGACAGCGTTTTGATGGGCCACCCAGATTCGACCAACCACGACAGCGTTTTGATGGGCCACCTAGATTTGACCAACCACGACAGCGTTTTGATGGGCCACCTAGATTTGACCAACCACGACAGCGTTTTGATGGGCCACCTAGATTTGACCAACCACGACAGCGTTTTGATGGGCCACCTAGATTTGACCAACCACGACAGCGTTTTGATGGGCCACCTAGGTTTGACCAATCTCGGTTTGAACAGCAGCCCATGTTTGAACCCCCAAGGCTGGTTAGTGCCCCACCTTTTTTGGATTCTTCATCAGTGCCTGAGCAAGAACAACAGCAAGGTCCCCAGCCTAGATCAGAGCTATCTAATCAGAAACCATTATCTGCCATTATTGATTCCAAGACTACATCTAAACCACCCAATGAGCTGCATTGTGACAAAGAAAAACCAAATAAGAGCAATGTTGAAGACTTGACAGATGACAACTTGCTTGGAACTGATGGCTTTTTTGTTCAAGACGACCCCATTCCTCAAACATCAGCTATTGAAAAGGCTGAGGAAACAGATGGTAAAGATGCCTCTGATGTTACAGAAAAGGCTAAACCTGTTACTGATAAGCCTTCTGTAACTGTTACGTCTGCTCCAAAGTCAGAGACTTCTGCACAAAATCCTCTCAAAGAAGGTGGACTATCACAGATTACAGAAAACAAACCAGAGCCACAAGATTCTGGTGGTCTGCTTCCAAAGCCAGAAATTCCCAATCTGCCTTCTGGCAGGGGAAGAGGCCAGCCCCCAATGCGTGGACGTGGAGAGTTTAGAGGACCAAATGCCACACAAGCTGAAGAAGAGGTGGAGGAATTGCCACACAACTATATGCCTCCTGAAGAGAGTATGGAAATGCAAGAGGAGCAGGAGAACTACCAATGGCAGGATTCTTCTTATGAGGAAGCTGGTGGTGATGAATCAGCAGAACCACCAGAAGAACCATGGGTGCCAGAAAATTGCTTTCAAGAGGACGAGTATTATGAAGAGCCGATTGGACCCTATATGGGGCGAGGTCGACCTCCAATGAGAGGAGGGCCCCCGATGGGAAGAGGAGGACCTCCAATGGGTAGAGGAGGCATCCTTATGGGACGAGGAGGTCCTCCAATAGGCAGAGGACATCCAATGGGTAGAGGTGTGCCACATATGGCAAGAGGAGTTCCACTAATGGTTAGAGGAGGCCCACCCATGGGAAGAGGAGGCCCACCCATGGGAAGAGGAGGCCCACCCATGGGAAGAGGAGGCCCACCCATGGGAAGAGGAGGCCCACCCATGGGGAGAGGAGGCCCACCCATGGGAAGAGGAGGCCCACCCATGGGGAGAGGAGGCCCACCCATGGGTAGAGGGGGCCCACCAATGGGAAGAGGGGGCCCACCAATGGGAAGAGGGGGCCCGCAAATGGGTAGAGGTGGCCCACCAATGGGTAGAGGAGGCCCGCTCATGGGTAGAGGAGGTTACCCCATGGGTAGAGGAGGTCCACTCATGGGTAGAGGGGATCCCATGGAGGAACACTGGGAAGATCCCAATTTTGCTGAAGATGCTGAGGAAGAAGACCCTTACTGGGGAGAATGGAGACCTCCAATGAGAGGTATGAGACCTCCATTTCCACCTGGTCGAAGTCGTCCCCTACGTGGTCACCCTGGTTTTATGCCACCAGGACGTGGTCACCCACCTCATCCAATGCATGGGCAAATGGATCATGAGCCTTTAGGCCAGAAATTGGAGTCTGATGATGACATGAACATGGATCCATCAATACACCCAGTATATAATGATCCATACAGCCATCCTGACATTGGAAGAGGCAGAAGACCACCGCCATCTCAAGAACTGGTGGATTCTGTAGAAGAACCTTTGTATGATGAAGAAGGTGAGCAAGAATGGTATCAACCTGAGAGAGGCCCTCCATTGCCTCCACATGAGATAATAGATAGGGGGGGAATGAGGAGAAGACCTATTGGCCAAGGAGTAGCAAGAGGCATGTGGCGCCCAGGTCCAACATGTGAGGAATATGAAGAAGGGTATAATGAGGGTTTTACTGTTGATTACGAACATGGGGAGGATGTGTATCACAAAGGTTTACCACAAGACCATGATCCTGATGTTGGTCGACATGAACCCAAGCACTTGGAGTCTGAGTGGGATAGAGAGCGTGTGCTTCCTGAGAGAGAATATCCTCCTCGCATGCCACCTCCAGAGCTCCTAAGAGGTGAACGCTGGCATCTGGAAACTGAGAGAGATCCCCCATATCCATATGATGAAAATGGGGCAAGAGGAGAGATTAGAGTTCATGAATACAGGGATGAGCCACAATATAGGAATGAAGACCTGCCACGCACTCTCCCTGCAGACTGGGATAGGCCCTCAAGGCTTCCTCCACTACCAGAGAGAGAGTATCCAGACTATGCTGATCGTAGATCTCTCTATGATGAACGTAGGGAAGAATTGTCTATGGATTTACCTGCATCTGTTAAAGACCAGCCTGTAAGCTCAGCTGACCCAGCATCGCAAGAAACAAGTGGGGCAAATGTACTTGCCCTGTCTCAACGTCAGCATGAAATTATCTTAAAAGCTGCCCAAGAGCTCAAGCAAATAAGGTAATTTATATATTTTCATTTAAATTATTCTAGTATATATTTATTTTACTGATTTACACATTTCTAAAAGATGTAGTCATTGAGTTGCTGTGATAAGTGCAACCTGCACTGTTTTATTTTAGCCTGTGTTAAACAGTGTTAATAATTTTACCCTATTCATTAAAAGGAACTATATTTTAAGTACTATAAGTAGCATACTTTTGTTTTTCTTCAATATACATTACATGCATTTCATAAGCTGCTTTAAAAATTATTGAACAGTTTGGTCTTTGACTCATTCCAAATGTCAAATTATGTCTGTGTTGTTGTGTGTATGGTAGGGTAGGGATGATGCCATCATTCCTTAGTGTGGTAATTATTTTAAAAATCGTGTACTTTTTTCCCAAACATTAACAACGTTGCATGCATTAGTAATTATGTTTACAACCTTTATTTTTATATTTGCAAGACTGTATGGTTGTTTGAAATATAATTTTAAGGGTTTCTGTTTTATCCTAAGGGTTAGAGAGCTAATGTTGGTGAGTCGTAATCATCGACATATAAATATTGGACAGTGGGTTTCCATAGACTCCAATAACACGTTTTTGAGGACAAATGGGAGGTGGCCACCACCGAGATTTTGACCGTGTCAAAGGTTCCGTCAAATCCAGACAATTCCACAAAAGGGAAGAGAGGTGGAGCTGAGGGTGTGGCTGTAAGGCTGGGATCAACTGACGACACCCGGTCGAACTAGCTACAAGCTAACCTTAAGCTAACCCAAAGCTAACGCAGAGGTGGTAGCTAAGCTAACGGAGGTAGCAACCTAGCTACAACCGGAGTTAACTGTGCACAACACCAGAGCTTCTGAGTCAGAGATACGCCGGGGCATGGGGAGATATTATGACAAGTCTCTAAATAAAGTAAAATTTTCTAGTGCAGAGTGGAGACAACCCATAGAAGCACTGATTTGATCTCATTTCAGAGAAAAATAGAACAGGTCAGATGCACCTAATAAATAAAATTACTAACAAACTCAGGAATATGTTTCTTTGCTTCATTGTTTTGGTGCTGAAAATATCACTAATGCGGATCAAAGGAGATACACAGATGAATGCACCTCTTATTTATTTTTTTGTAAACTACATTTACTGCAGCTGGCAGAGGCAGATATTGTTTCTATTGATACACGGAGTTTACAGAATCATTTTAGATTTTAACAGGGGAAGACTGCAGGAGGGAGCGGTAAAATGCAGGGGGTCCCCAGCAAAAACAAGAAACTTTACGAGTCTGATGAAACTCGCTGGTTTTCCATCAGGCAGTCACGGGGCAGCTCCAACGACCCAGTGGCTGTGCTGGGTCAATGTTATCGAGCTCAGTCCGGCTCGGCCGTGAACGAGCCGAGGCGACGTCGTGCTCTGCTTGAAGAGGTGTTATTTTCCCTCTTCAGAAGAAGCGTCCAACGTGTTTTTACGTTTTCTCCGAGACATGTCGCGTCGCTAAGTTGTTAGCGCCGCGTGCTAACGCGTCAATAGTGCAGCGTAGCCTGCTGGAGGTTTTAAGGGTTCAGATGAAACACCCGACCTCTCACTCTGCTCACACTTCGATCTTAAGTTGTCGCTGTTGCGCTCACGCCGTAATACAGTTTTAGATGCGGTTAAAGTCAGACATGAAAAAATAAATACATTTTACATGATTAAGTGATGATTAGCCTGGTGGGGGGAGGAGAACCTGGCCTAATAAGCACTGGAGGAAACCCTGTCAAGATCATCAACACTCATTTATTTTATTGCTATTGAAACATGTAAACCAAAAAGCATTATATCCACTGCTACCTTTCTAATTTTAAACTCAGTAACTTATGCTGTAACTTCACCTTGACCTGCCTGCCGGCTGTGATCACAAGCGACAACATAGTAGTTCCCGCTGCTTCTTCGGGAAACAGCGCAAAAAAAACCAACCTTGGGATCTTGTAGGCGTGGCGGTGGGATTTCAGCCGTGGCGACCCGCCACGCCTATGTAAGGGAAACCCTGTGTAAGCTAGATCATTTAAACCAAAAACATGTTTTGGTACCAGGCTGTAAACATGTTTATTTCTGCTGTGAAATTGGTATTTTTAACATGGGAGTCAATGAGGATTTGCTCGCTTCTGACACCAGCCCCTAGTGGATGAGGGTGGAACTGCAATTTTTGGTACTTCCGGGATTGCTTCAATTTTTGAGCCGCATTGTGGGGGCTTGGTCGTAATTGACACACACTTTTTTTTTTTTTACTCTGTTACTCGGTGGTCTGTTGTGTTTAAAACTTTTGCTATTAGTTATGACTCCTTCTTCATGATGATTGCACACAAGAAGATCTTATGTTCTCTCTATAAACGTTCGTTCTTTGATATTGCATTAACAATTACACGAGTAAAAGGGAACTTATTCCCCACCCCTATTGGCTGCAGCTGGCTGCTTGGCTATTATATCTTCTCAGCCCTCATATCTGTTGTGCAAATACAGACATAAAATAACTGAAGGTGTTGGTAGTGGTCTTTCATGAACCTTTTTACAAGACACACCGTGCCGGCAAATAGGCGTAATATTACCACAGCGGTGTGTCTTATAAACATGCCAACGCGGGCATCGTGTGGCACAAACTTTGCGGAATTTGTTCCGCTTGCTCGGTAGTAATATTGCAGTAATTTTCCATCATAAAAACTGTGATTGTGCCTTGGCGCAACAGAGGGGGGTGTCATGATGACGAAAGGACTTGATGCCAAGCTCTGGCCGGCAACCTAATTGAAAATGAAAGTAAATACGGGCCGTAAGTTGTTTTTTGAACAAAATTAGCCAAGACGGCAAACTGGAGCGCTGCAGTACTCCAGGAGCTTCTCTCCGTTAGAGCTTGAGGTCAGATTACCAAGAGACAGCATGGGATCTGTGGGGGACAGACACCTCTAGGAGCGGCTTGTTAAAAAAACGTAACCATCACGGCTCGCAATTAAAAGCAAGTTAGGTCCAAGATAAACAGAAGTCTGCGGCAACGCAGAGACCGCCCCATACTCTCTTTATGCCGTCATCGCCTAATCTTTTATAAAAAAGGATGCACGATTGCTCCCCATTACCTCCATGGTCTGACCATTTATAAATGACCTAGGGCTCCCTGATGCCACCATGGCGTTGCGGCAAATTGACTGCATTGTTTTGTAAAAACAGCTACGGAGAGCCCCCACCCTCTATAGTCACCCATGTAAAGTTTGATTACCGTTTTCAACCTCCTGGATGCCATTACGTGAGGTCACATTAGCCATCATTGGACTTTTTGGGTCATTTTATTTACTTTGGCCAGCGATGCTCCAAACATTTGAACGTATGATGCATTGTGGAAGTTTGTTCTAAAACGGCAGCAGGAAAGAGCCTGAAACTAGTTGTTTAAACGTTCAACTGTACAAAACACAAGAAGGTACAATATTTGCATAGCATAAACTTCAAGTCACTATGAAGGTGAAGTAGAATAGATAAAGCAGTTTTGAAGCTGTATTTTGAGGACTGCAGTCTAGTGAAACAGGTCATTGGACAGTTTGGTTTAAAAGCACCTTGTGTTAACTGTTAAATATGCTCAAAAGTGTTTTAGGAAACTTTCAAAAGATTCAGTTGATTTTATTTTGTATCTGAAGGGAATTGCAAGAAGTAAAGCTCCCAGGTGGTGAGCTACAATCTGCACCTGGTGAAAATCTGCCAGATCTCCCTGCAGGTCTTCTTGGTTTGGAGATCCCAGCAGATGTCAGGAACGCACTGAAGGTTATTAAATTGACGTTTATTTTTAACTTGATTGCAAGAAGTAATTATTTTAAGTATTTAGAAGGAGAAAATATTGAGGCATTGCTATTGTTTGATGTACACGTTTTTACAATCTTTTAAATGTTATCCATTCTCACCAGGGTATAACTGCTGCATCACATGCAAGTACTGGTGAATCAGTATCATGGGAATCCAAATCTGCTGCTCCAGATTACCAGTCAAAGCCCTCATTGATTTCTAAAACTGTTGACTATGGACATGGACACGGTATCAGTTGCAAAACCAAGCACCTTATACATTTATTTTAGAAAAGACACTGGTTATGTTGCAAAACATTGACAATTGCATTTACTGATTGACATTTAATGTTTCAGATCCCGGGCATACTGTAGAGCGCATCCCTTATGGTGAGAGAATCGTGCTGAGGCCTGACCCATTGCCATCAGACAGAGGCTATGAAAAAGGTAAGGGTCCCTTTTTAAAGAAGATCTTTTTGTATTCATTCTGCTTTTGCATCTTTCTAAAAAATATGTTCAAAAACATAACTTCCAGAATTGTTCGCTGTAAGAGATCCTTACGGCAGAGACCTTTATTACGATAGAAGATCTGACCCCTATATGGACCGGCGGGAGTACAGCAGAGAGAGGGAACTATACAGAGAAAGTCCCCTCGACTATGACAGGGAGAGATATGAGAGAGAGCGCTATCATTCACGAGAACGAGATGAAAGGTAGGATTTGTTCTGAGTTTATACCATATTTTCTGATTTTTACAGAAGTATTCAGTTTCTCTACATATGTACTTTTTTAAAATTCAAGCTCACGCTCTATGGTTGTGGAAAGGTACAAGCTCACATTATATCAGACCTTGTGATTAGTCCTGAGTGTGGTTTTCATTGAGTAATATATAATGGAATGAAATTTAAGAATTCAAATCCTGTGTGTAGGTCTCCTCTTTCGTCTGCTCTGCGGTCGGGATACAGAGACCGAGAGAGAGAGAGAGACAGGGAGAGAGACAGAGACCGGGATCGCAGCGGCAGTCGGGATCCGGATGGAAGAGCTGGTTATGACAGACTTCCATTTGAACGTCCTGGCCTTGACAGAGTTGGGCCTGAGCGCTACAGCTCACCTTACGGTATGTTTATAAGCTCTTTGAAACTTGAATCGCTGTGTAACTCAGGATTTCCACTGGATGCATAAGCGTCCGTCACATCAACTAAGTGCAATACACAGGCAATGGCCAGAAGGCGACGGTCACAACATGTGTTACAGCTGACACATGACTCATGTTAACGTTACCCCTTCCTCCCACCGGCCGCCAAAGTGGTCGTGTAACATAACAGGTATGTTTTACCAGCAAGATCATGCCCGACCGGGAACAAAATCCGACACAAAATGAGAGTGAAAGCGTTCCACACAGCTGATCCTGTGAGCAGGGGTGGACCTTTAAAGCGCCCGAGCGCCAATGGCGCTAAATTTTCTCGTCGGGCGGTAAATACTTGACGACTTACTGCCCGGGTGGCGCCCAAGCTTTATTTGTCATTTACACACCGGCTTTCACCTACATCATGGCCCCGCCCTGTAGGAAGCTGCCGTTTTCATTTCGCGCGCGTGAACCTGCGCGCCTCTAGCCACGTACTGCACTTGTACGATTCGTGCACGTCCTGCACGATTCTAGTTATTGTCACGTGAACTATAAGTTCACTATTAAAGACGAAGTGGAACCACGCTAGAAACACACAAGCACGCAGGAAGATCGCGCCACCACAGGGATGGGATTTCTTGATGAAATCTCCGGCAAAACGCTTTAAAACTGGTGAGGAGAAGCGAGACAGTTCGAAACGGTATGAAGCAGAGAAGCGTGTGCGTAGGTGGAATGATTCTTGGTGGTTTAAAGAAGACTGTAGGCGCGGAGAATGGCCGTATTTGAGTTGAGCAGCGGCTCGCCTGGAAAACAGACGAGAGCAGACGGAAGCAGCAGGGGGAGTGGCTGAAAGCCGGCGTTTAACGCTGGGGACACACCGGCCGCGGAAGCGCCCGAAGCGAATCGCTCACGAAGTCCGGCCGCTGCTCGCCGCTCCTCAGTTCAGATCAGACGCTCCCCATTCGAGGCGCGCCTCGGCTCAGCTGTAGTTTTTCTCCATTTCCTCAGCTCTTTTCCTGTGTGTGTGTGTGTGTGTGTGTGTGTGAGTGTGAGTGTGAGTGTGAGTGTGTGTGTGAGTGTGAGTGTGAGTGTGAGTGTGAGTGTGTGTGTGAGTGTGAGTGTGAGTGTGAGTGTGTGTGTGTGTGAGTGAGTGGTGTGAACCAGTTGTTTCTGCCAGTTGAATCTCTTGGACTTCCCTACATGTGTAGCTCGGGGGTGACGATGGATGAAGATATCGCGTTAGCATTCACACTTGTTCAATTTTCAATTGTAATTCTGGTGCCTGTTAGCAGCTGAAACACATCCTCACGCGCTTGTGGATATCATATATTCTATATGAAAACATGACTGTAATAATAAGTAAAGGTTATCAGCTGTTCAGTGTGCTCATAGGAAACGTGACAAAAGAACACAAGACACATTTCTCCTTATGGCCTATATTGTTGTCATCATCAACGTAACATGATTTACAGAATACATGTGACCAACTAACATTTCATGTTCTACCACCGGATGTTTGGATCAAAATGTGAACCAATCAGATCTTAGATCAGATGAGAGCCAGGCGTTTCCCGTCATCCTCTAGGTTTTGCAGCCGGTAGAGAGCAACTGCAGCGCCTTGCTCCAAAATCTGCGGCCGCCTTGATCTCACGAGGTTATCGATGCCTACGTATGCATGACGTCAGAGCAAGTCGGGTCAATTCGGGCACAAATCTAACCGGCATGCACTGCTCGCCGATCACTGCTGGTCTAATCTGCGCAGAACTGGCTCATCTCGAACACAGTCAATGGCTCGAATACAGCAAAGCGGCGTTGGTGATGTGCTGCGTTGTATGCCGGAAGTATGCGACGACAAAATCGTGTTTTGTTGAGGGAACAAACAAATTCAAACTTGAATACGTTATTATGTTTGTGAATGTGTACAAAATAAAGGTTTATTACATTTAAAACGGTTGAGTTGTTATTTTGACTCGTTTTGGCGGCTGACCAGTGGGGCCGGTAGATTCTTGGCAGGGCCGGTAAATATTCAGAGTTATCGGCCCGGCTGGCCGGTTGGTTTTGAAGTTAATGTCCACCCCTGCTGTGAGGTTGCAAAATCACGGGAGAATTGCAATACAACACGTGATTTCAGGAGTCTACACAATAAAAAGCAAGGAGAAAGACCGCTGCATGTCTCCAAAAAGGGCTTTGGTTTATGTAGGCTTCAGAAGTTTCACCGGAAATTACGTCCTGCACGTGACTTTTATTTTGACGTTTCTGGATGTTTTACGCTGCTTTTGTGTTTGACTTCCTGTCTGGCGTGATCTAAACTGCAGAGTTTGACATGTTTGGGAAGTGTAGTGTGTAAAAACAAATAGGCTCAAAATGTAACAATGGCGTCCCCTTGGTTCAGGGGCACGTCCAAAACATGTCCCCGGCTTTCCACTGTCTGTGGAAGCAGCCACGTAACGTAATAGCGGGGTTCCACCGCTGAGCTCGTTCCCAAACGGGAGCAATTCTCACACGAAACTTGAGAGAAAGAGTTTCACACAGCTGATCTTGTGACGTCATGAAATCACGGAATAATAGCAAAACCCCACGTGATGTCATTGTTCACACACAATAATAAACGAGAAGAAAGACAGATGCTTGCATGAAAAAATGTCTGTGGATTATTTCCTGTTCTGTTTACATCGGTCACAAAGGGTCACAGGAAATGGCGCACTGCACGTGACTTTTATTTTGAAGGGTCCTGGATGTTCTACGCTTCATTTGTGTTTGACTTCCTTTGTGGCTAGATCTAAACTGCGGAGTTTGACGTGTTTTGGAAGCGTAGCGCGTCACTCGAAACGTAATGATGGCGTTCCCTCGCTTCTGAAGCACGTCCATAACACCACACATTGCTTCCGGTGGACAGGAACTCATTCGTTATAACAGCGGCTAACTGTCACGTAGTATGTTTCGCGGCCGTTTCGTGACAGTTTGGCATGCAGTGGAAAGAAGGGGTTACAGCTACCAATACAAGTCACTTACTGTTGATGTTAGCAGCTAACCAGAAAATTAACTTCAAGAGGCGACACGCTCTTCGTTTGCTTCTTTCTAAAATGGTTGCGAATCAGTTGTACTGCCATGGAAGTTTAGCATATGCTTCCCTTGATTTTCTTTATTTTTTTAATATATGAAATGCTCCCAAACTTCTGAGCTGTTCCAAGCTCACATGATTGTTTGGACTTCTCCAGTGATGCCGCAGCTGACTCCGAGCACTGCTACTTCGCCTGTGCGTCTTGGGCAGAAAGGCAGACAAAGCAGTGGAAGCTACTGTGGCAATTTTGAGAGAAAAACAAAGCTTTCAAGTTTTAACGAGGATGTCGATTAGTACATTTGTCGTTGATGTTAGTCCATTGAACTCGTCTTGGCAGCACTAATGCATTCACAACCATTACGAGTCTGAGTCTGCCGAGGTTTTGGTGAAAACACGCCTGTTGCGTTACTCGCTGCTTGGGCATCCATCGGAAGGCCTCGATTATACTGATTTGTAATTTAGCCAGAAAACAGTAAAGATAAAATATTTTGATAAAAATATTTCAACTGTAAATGATATAATGCAGTGGAAAGAAGAGGTTATCCAGAGGAGAGAGGGTCTCACATTGCAGCACCACTCGCTCCACCTCCACCACCACCTGCAAGAGTAGAGAAGAAGCCTGAAATCAAGAATATCGAGGACATCCTCAAACCACCGGGAAGATCATCTCGACCCGAGAGGGTAATAATTGATTCCTGTTGCATTTTTCATAAGAATATTGTTGTATATGTTTATTTCTTAATAAATTTTATGTTTTCACAGATCGTCATCATAATGAGAGGTCTCCCAGGAAGTGGGAAAAGTCATGTTGCAAAGCTCATACGGGTTTGTGACACATCTAAAGTGCATGAAGAGCAGAAACACTCTCCTCAAACTGAACTTCAACTTTTTAACAATCATAATGTTTTCTATTCACAATACTTAGGACAAAGAAGTTGACTGTGGCGGTGCTCCTCCAAGAGTTCTTGTTTTGGATGATTACTTCATGACCGAGGTCGAGAAGGTTGAGAAAGACCCGGACACGGGAAAGAGGGTGAAAACCAAGGTTAGTCCGCCAAAGAGAAAACGTATCTACCAGACTGAAGATGCATTGTAGTCCGCATCATGAACTATCTTCACTTTTTGCAAACACTTGACATGCTCCCCCAGGTTCTTGAGTATGAATACGAGCCAGAGATGGAGGACACCTACCGAAGCAGCATGCTGAAAACGTTTAAGAAAACCCTGGATGACGGCTTCTTTCCCTTCATTATTATAGACACTATTAATGACAGGGTTAAACATTTTGATCAGTTCTGGAGCGCGGCGAAAACCAAAGGCTTCGAGGTGAGATGTGCTCACTAATAAGTCTGGATAAACTGTTCCAGTCTGGCTTCAGTTTAAGAGCTTTTATTTCTCTCATTTTAAGGTTTATGTCGCTGAAATCACAGCAGACACTCAGACTTGTTCAAAGAGGAATGTCCATGGGCGCACTCACAAGGAAATAACAAAGGTTTAAAACATCAGTCAGCTACTCTCAAATGCTATTTGTGATCATTTTTCTTGATTTTCAAAGATTTCAAACATTAGTTTTAGTAATCTCACTGGATTTGTCTTCATGCAGCTATCCAAAGACTGGGAGTCTTCACCTCGTCACATGGTGCGTTTGGATGTCCGGTCCTTGCTTCAGGATGCTGCTATAGAGGAGGTGAGGTTCTCTTCAGATCTAAGAGTCGTTTTTATACGTTTTCAGAGGCTGAGCTAAGCTAACTTGCTTGACTCTTAAGGTTGAGATGGAAGACTTCAACCCTGAAGACGAGCCTCAGGAACCCAAGAGGGAAGAGGAGGAAGAGGGTGACCTGGTAGGACATGAACATTTATTGTTGACGCTACATTACTGCTAGTTCTTTTCATTTGTTTTCTCATCTGTCAGACAAGTTTTAGCCAGTATAGCTGTTTAAATGGCTTTCAAATTTGGAGTTGGTAGAGGGTAAAGCCGGGCGTACACTGTGCGACTTTCACTTTTTTGAGCCGATTTTCCACTCGTGTGAGAATCCACAAGATCGGGGCGAGTTTTGTGCTGATCGTCGTGTAGTGTACAGGAGGCGATTAACACCACGTGACCAGCTACCGATCAGCAATCGTGAGCTCGCACGGACTTCTGGCGTTTGATATTTTGCTCGTTCCTCGTGAGGGTTGAAGCGGCGCAGCGAGCGGCTGCCACCCAAAAAGTACCAGAACCGCTCACTGCGCATGTGCAATCCTGCATCAACACCGCTCGCCCAGTCGCACAGTGTCTGCCCAGCTTTATAGGTGAAATTATTATGAGCTGAAATTGAATGCAGTTTGGACCTGATGAGTTCAGATGCATTACAGTCACAGGAGCAGGAGTCCTCTATTTAGTTTTCTCCATAAACTCAACCTCTATTTAAAAAAAATGACATTTAAAAGCTTCTTAACATCAGAAATAATCAGTTTAGTTATACATTGCAATATTTTTAATGAAACCGCTTTTACAATTAAATCATTTTTATTAAACAACATTGTTCTAACGAATTAAAAAAACAGTAAAAGCAAAATTATAGTGGCAAAGAAGAGAACTTACATTTCCAAAAGTTCTACAGTTGAAAACGTTCCCAATGTGATATTCTAAACAAACACCTGGCCTTCGAGACTGAACAAAAAAGGACAGAAACACTAATAATAAGTTGGAGTGAATCAACTCAATTTAAAGGAGACCAAGAATATAAACTAACATTTTCCTTGTTGTAAAGACAGGCTGGGTGGTCAAAAGTAGCACGCCAAAAAGTCAAAGCAGTGTGTGACCTACTTTTTATGTAAATTAGAAAGTTGAAAAAGGTGAGAAACTCTTGCTGACCAAGCCTTCAAAGTAATGTCACGAGGTAACCACTCCTGCTACACCTACATGTTCCAGCCTACTTCAGCATCAACATTATTTAAACGCTGCCGCAGAGCCATGGTAAGCCAGGCCTCTGTTAGCACCATCTAGCTGGTAGCTTCAGCTAGCAACAGCCTTGTTGAAGGAGACAAAAACCAGCAGGTTCCAGGATCAACTGGTAAAATCCAGTCTGTAGGTGAATGCTGTGGTCTGGTCTGGTGCTTTCCTTCATTGTTAGTCTACAACCCTTCTACAAGCAGCCTGTCTTTGTCCCACACTCATTCTTGACTCACCCCTTCAGTGGGAGCTTTTTTTTTTTTCTTTTCAGAGCTTTATTAAACAAACAGTATACAAAACCACAAAATGTAAACAAAAGTTGACACAGATCATGTGTAGGGGTGCAAAAAAATCAAATAATTTATATGTAGTGCAAATATTAATTGTTTTTAAAGCCGTTTTGCTTAAAGATCCATTAATCAATGTTATATAAGGCTTGAGTGGGAACTCGCTGAGAAACCCTGACTGTAGTTTTGTTTCTGCAGTCACTTGTCTCTCTTAAAATCCCCCAACACACACACACACACACACACACACACACACACACACACACACACACACACACACACACACACACACACACACACACACACACACACACACACACACACACACACACACACACTCTGGTGAAGTGGGCGGGGAAATCAGGTCTTCTTATATTGACCTTTATTATGCATGTTTTAGTTGGCTATTTCTCAGGGCTCCTGGGTCATTTTAAGCTCCAACAAAATGTTATATGCTTAATTAAAGGCTTAAAGATCAGTTTGATTGCTGATGAACTGCATTCTTGGTCTCCTTTAAAACAAATCTAAGTGGTGTGTAGTCTTTATGGACATTTATTTACGTCTGAATGTAGCATTTAATCCTAATCTTATTACTTTGACTTATTTAGTATTATTTAATTTGATCTGTTAAGTTTTTCAAGCCAATCTGTCTGATTTAATTTTCCTTTTATAAAATACCTGTGAAGTCGTAGGTGTGGTTCAATGAACACATTTGGAAATGCTCACAGCAAAGGTTCAACATCGACAGGATTAATGCAGTGAGTTTATCTGTAGATGACCGGATAAACCAGTCAAACACAATAAATTACATCTGGAACATTGATGGAAGTTCTTTCTGGTATCAGCACTAATTTGTGAATCTTTAATACATTTTCCACTTTTGATGATTATAAAAGTTGGCATTTGTTCTTGAAAGTTATTTTACAAGTTTTGCTTCTTCCCTGAAAAAGAAAGATAAATGCATTTAGCATCAGTTATCACTCTCCAGTGCTAAGAATGCTCTAGTTCCAAGTGGGTGACATCCAAAAATAATTAAAGGTTGAATACGGAGCAAGAACACCAAAGCGACATCTAGTGTGTGGAGGTTGTAGTTACAACAATAGAACAAGGTTTACAGGTGTTGGGATTCCAGGTTCGCTGCTGATATGTAGAACGTCTTATTTGGGTCCGTCTGTTGTAGGCTTCACCTAAACTTACTCTGGTGTTAGATCTTTCCTGGTCGCGCCTCTTCTGAGAAGGATAGCGACATCTTCTGAGCTCTGTAGCAGCTGCTTGATTTGCAGGGGGTCCGGAGCCGAGACTTCAGGGGAAGAGCAATGCCTGGTGTCCCATCTGCAGGCTTCGAAAAAAAACTGGAAATGATTTAAGCTGATGCTAAAACATGCGTGAAAAAGTGCTCTGATGATGAAATCCATTCTGACTCGATACTTATAAAAATTCCATGAATGTAATTGAATTGATTCATAAGTCCAAATATCCATTTAGTTGTTTCAAATAGTTTGTCCAAAAAGGTTAATACAGTTTCTCCCGGTGAACTATAACTCACCCAGTGTTGCATCATTGAATTACGGGCATATTATTACAGTAACAAGTCACACGGTAAAAAAAACTCCCAAGTACATTTTTGTGTGGAAACTTTATTTTAATAATCATTTCTAGTTATTTAATTACATTGCAATAAAGAATATTGGACAAAATACATTAGATCTAGCATATAACGCTACATAATTTGTTGACTAAATAATTGTTGAAGCATTATTCACTGCCCCTACTTTATGCTCTCAGATACTGAAAGGAACCACTTTAAAGCTTTTAATCAACATTAGTCAGATTTAGTCCTGCTGAAGACTTAATACAGCTTCACCGTTGGTTCTACACCAGTTTAAGACTGGAAATGTACTCATCTTTTTTTAATTTAAGGCTTAGCTTTCATTTATTTATTTTTTTCTTCGTTTTTTATTAGCAAAGGCTAGTTTATGCTTCTCTGTTGGCACAGAGACACAACTTCATAATTTGAAGGATGTAGCGCCCTAATTTCTAAAGTGATGAAGACCCTCAAGCCTATGATTGGTCAGGACGCCGCCTCCTTTAACTTCAACAGCACCGCCTTTCCCTCTCAAAAAATAAAACAAGAACCGAACATATCTAGCGACAGACAGGGAGCAGATTAAAGAATGTCTTGCAGCAAAAGCCCAACGACAAACGTTTATACGCTCATGACTAAAGGAGTACAAAGAGCTTTTCATTCATGTCAGGAAATTACTCCAAGCATGAGTTTAGGGATGATGACTGGATGAAGAGATGGACAACAAATTGTTGGTGTTAAAAATCTCTGAATACATAAACAAGAAGTAAATATTAGAGACATGAGTGCATTGATGGTTGTATGCACCAGAAAAGCGCTACACCCTCTGTTGCCTCGCCTCTGTCAGTGCGCCCCAGGGCAGCTGTGGCTACATCGTAGCTCATCACCATCAGTGTGTGAATGTGTGTGTGAAGGGGTGAATGATACACTGTAGTGTAAAGCGCTTTGGAGTCCTTACTCTGAGAGGCGCGATACAAGTGCGGGTCATTTATCATTTGTCCTGACAGAGAATTGCTTCACACTGACACACCAATGGAGAGGTATAAAGGAAAAACATCTCCCTCAGTGTTTGTGCATGCGAGTGCAAAGTTGCTGACGGAGACGTATGAACTGTCCTTAAGAGTACAAAAGACATGAACTGTATGCCGGCTGCAGATCTAGCACTTTTTTTAAATTATTTGTCAAGAAATTAAAGACTACTCAAGCCTAATTCCACTCCTGTAGCCATTAATGCTTCTTTTGCCCTGGTACTTTAAGCCAATCTCTAGTCTCGTTAAAGCAGCTGTCTCTGCTTCATCTATAGGGCAGCAGTAGCACAGGCTGAGCGGGTTGTCCAGTAATCGGAAGGTTGCAGGTTTGATCCCGGTGTAGACAGAGAATTCTGCTGTTGTGTCCTTGGGCAAGACACTTACCCCACCTCGCCTGCTGGTGGTGGTCGGAGGGACCAGTGGCGTCTGTGTTCAGCAGCCTCGCCTCTGTCAGTGCGCTCCAGGGCAGCTGTGGCTACATCGTAACTCATCCCCACCAGTGTGTGAATGGATGAATGATGCACTGAAGTGTAAAGCGCTTTGGAGTCTTCTGACTCTACAAGTGTGAGTCATTTATCATTATCATATGTTTCCACAAATATTGGTCACTTTTTGTCAAACATTGCACGTTGAAACCTAAACTGTTATGGGTCAGCATGCTAATGAGCCTTATAGTTGACTGGTAATCCAATCTTTCAACGTCTAAGGTCTTTGTTAACAAGACCACCTAGTTATTGCTACTGTTACACACACAACTGAAACAAGATAAGGCGTAAAAAAGGCTCACTGCTTAAACTGGACCCCAGACTTGTACAAGAACAAAAGTATTTTGTAAGAAAATGTTCAAATGTCTTTTGAACATATTCTTACAAAAAAACAACCACTCTTTATTTTGAATGAAATATTAAATGATTAGTTTGTTCAGTTTTTCTTTGTGTTGGCTAAAAAGCGAAGTTTTAATTCATTCTATAGAGGAACACCGCTACAAATCAGAAAAATAAAGATT